GTGACTGGGAGTCATACTAATAGATCATGCACTGGCCATGGTTTGTTTAGTTTTGTTTTGTTCTGTTTTGTTTTGATTTTTTAACTGTGATAACGTTTACTGGAAGGGATGCTTTAGCACATGAAATCCTGTGCAGGCATTTACTTACATGATCCCCATTTCCAGTATCTTCAGCACAATGATTTTCCAGGTCTCTAAATCATGAACAGATTTTTCTTTCTGAAGGTACATGAATGCTGTTTGCAGGCATGTAGCTGGGAGGGAGAGGCTCGGGGGGCTTCAGCCCCCCCCCCCCGAAATTCTCAAGGTGGTCCGCGAGAAGGCCTTACTGGTGCATTATTTAAACTGTTATGTTTATTCATATCGTGATCTGATCACCATACTCAATATATCCCATATGCATGGGGGTATTGGGGTAAGGTTTGCTAGGGTAGACCCTCTTTCACTCAGACTCAGCCCCCCCCGAACCAAACTCAGCCCCCCCCCCCCGAAACAAAATCCTGGCTACGAGCCTGGCTGTTTGAGACCTCATCACACTAGAGCATGAATCCACTTTAAATCCAGTTTCTACCTCCTGCAAAATTGTAGTTTAGGGAGGGGCTTGTAGTTTAGGGAGGGATCTTTAAACTGTTCAACCAGACAGGTTCTGAGTCACACTGAACTACAAACCCCAGAATTCTACTGGAGGCAGAAACCGGATTTAAAGTGGATCTTTGCTCTAGTGTGATAAGGCAATTTAACTGTCATAGCTCAATGCTGTGGAATCATGTAATGTTGTTTTATAAGATATTTAATTCTACGTGCCAAACAGTGCTGATACCTCATCAAACTACAACTTTCAGGATTCCATAGCATTGAGCTCTGCCAGTTAAAATGGTGTCAAACATCATTAATTCTGCAGTGTGGATTCTCCTATTTAAATTATTTTTCTCTGTGCATAAAGGCAGATAGGAACAGTGTCTGTGTTGAACAAATCTAAGGTGCTTTGCCTCCTCATATGGTTATGTTTCTTGGATTCTTAATCCCTGCGTTGAAGAGCCAGCATCTCTCTCACTGAATCCATTTGAACACTTCCTCTCAACGTTAAGAGCTCTGAAAAACCCTGCCTTCATAGGGAGATGTGTTTCAGGAAGTTGTGAAGGTTATGGTAGAGTGGAGTCAGTGTGTGGGTGGAAGAAACTGTGGGAAGTAATTTTGCACTGGCAATAGAGTTGCTCAAAATCAGGAATAATAACAAAAGGGGAAAGCTACAAGGCCTTGTACTATATCAAATGTGCTATATTAGTAAGAAATGTGACTCCCATAAGCAAACTACAATAATTTCAGTAAAACCAGTTTCACTTTGCTGCATAAGCTAATCAAGTGACTCTCCAAAATCCAGATTTTTTTGTACACTTTGCACTTTTGTCTCCTTGGCCTTCTATCCAGTTGCTGTTAACTTTGTAACATAATATGGACAACTTTACTAATGCTTTTTGACACAGCAACCTCACACCCAGGGCAACCAGAATAACTTTGAACTTAGAATTTCTTTAAAGTCAGCTAAACCTAGAGGACAATTCAATGTGAAAGTGATATGATCTCATTTAAATGCTGTAGGTTGGATCAGCTGTGTATTTCACCTTGTGTCCTTTTTGCAAACCTCAAACAAAAACAAGATAGTATAAAATTCCAGACAAAGTTATTTCTGAACTATCTGTACCACCTCTCTAAAATACTTTATTTCAATGGATGAATATAATTGTATTTTGTCCTGTTTATTCCTAATTATGCAAGAACAGGCTTTTTTTTTTTGTCGTGTCAGGAGCAACTTGAGAAACTGCAAGTCACAGGCTGCCTAAATGTTTATCTGCATTTAGAGATAGATGGAGATTGAGCAGGGTAGAAATTTAGTAAATAAATAAAATAAATATTTTAGTTGCAATCAAGTGTTTTGCAGCCTGTTTGTTCCATGTTGCTTGCTTCCATATATATGTCATCAGGATTGCCCTGCTGAGGTTCCTGGTGATGTATATATGGGTTCCTTCCATCTCCAAGAGCTCAAAGATAATTTTCATTTGCCACAGAAATGAGTACCCTCCTCTGGAGGTTATGTTTAATATTTCTGGAAGGCAGAAATTATATTATGATTATGATTATTATTCAAACATTTCAATCACGTAGTACTCCACCCATGTAATGCCAGCCATTCCAGACTTCCTCTAACTTGGATTTAGAATGAAGGTCTTCCCTAGCCCAAGCATACTCTTCTTTATGTAAACATCTGTGCTAGATCAGACCCAAAATTTCAGTATTAATTTCTCATTCAAAAGGTATGATCTAGCTTTTAGGCACAGAACAACATTGCCCCAGTAACTGCAGTCTGTGTACAATCCCAACAGCACATCTAATGTTCTGATTCTCTGTCAATCCCATTGACTCTCGACTGGAATGAGTGTAAAGAGTGACACAAGCTAAACTATAATGGCAGGAAGGCTGATAGAAGGTGATGATATCTAATGTTCCTTTAAGTGCACATTAAATGTACTTAAACAGTTAGGACTATTAGGTTGAAAGGAAAGATGAGGAGCCAGAGAGAAAGAGATCTCTGGGTTTTGCAAAGGCTAAGATGACAAGATCATATCACTTCTTTGCTCAATGTCCATGTAGCATTCTGGCCACGTAAGTGCAATATGTCCTTTAGTATCTAGAGGAAAGGCTTTATCTGAACTATTTTGTCCCCTTGGACTGATCTTTGCAATACACACTGATATTGCCTGCACTGTAGCCTGGACACATAAAAAACTTGGATAAAATGCAAATGCTAATTTTCCTCATAATTTAAGAAAACGCCTTTCATGTTTCCTAAATTGCAGAATAAATGTATTTTGATCTCATCATGAGCTCAGCCGAATTTTTCCTTCATGTCTTCTTGTTTGCTACTTAACAGTCTATAACAATGTATGAATAAGTTGCTCTCATTGGTTGTTATGGTGGCTTTCTTATGTCCTGTTCTGGCCCAACCTCCTTTTATCTCAGGGTAGTTCAGAAACACCTTTATCCCAGGAGAATCCACATTTTAGAAACGCAGAGCGCTTCTGGGGTGGGTGTCCAGATGCTCTTGCAGAACCCTATCCCCCTCCCCGAAGCCCCCAGACCTCTTTGAAAAGTTACCCGGCCTCCATTACAGTCTTGGAGCAGCTCTCCCAGTGTGTAGAAATGATGCGCCAGGAGAGTGGTGGGCGAGTGATCCCCCCCCCAGGGTCTCCTGGCACATCATTACTATATGCCGGGAGAGCTGCTCCAATACTGTAATGGAGGCCGAGTAAGTTTATTTTACTTTTCAAAGGGGTTTGGGAGCTGTGGGGGAGGGGTGGGTATTCCCACAGTTTTCCTGACTAATTTAGTCCAGAAAACTCTGGGAATGGTATCTAGATTGCACTTGCCCAAGATTTTAATTGCTTGAGATCTTGTATTTAAAATATCCTTACCAATGAGAATTCTCCTCTCTACCCTTGGGTTAGATATTGTGGCACATACAAATAGACAATTTCTTCAGTGGTGATCCCATCTACATAGTCACTTGGTTGAGGTGGTCACCTTCAAGGCAACCTGTAACCCACATCCAACAGAAAACTGAGTTCAAAAACTCACCATAAATTCCAAATCACACCATAAAATGCACTGAAGTTTATCACTGTATAAACATGGCAGTTCTGCAAAGTGGAAGATGCATTCAGAACACTTGTCAGGACAGGGTCAAAGCTGCAGGAGTCACAGAGGGAATCTGGATAATCAGCCCAGAAGGAAGGTAAATTATTATTTATTTACAGTTCTTATATTCCGCCCTTCTCACCCCGCAGGGGACTCAGGGCGGATTACAGTAAACACATATATGGCAAACATTCAATGCCAGTTTGACAAACAACATTTAACAGACAAAGGCTATTTAACTTTTTTTTTTTTTCTGGCCGCCAGGGGAGCTGCTGCTTTTCATCGTCCATCAACGACACCGATGAAGTTCTTCCGCATTCCACATTCCCCGGAGTCTTCTTTCTTTATGGCCTCATAAATTAGTTAAATTTAGCCACTCCTCCTGCAAGGAAAGGGCAACACCCCTATAGGAATGCTACATTGCTCTCTATTGTCTGACTCTCTGTAGAAAGGCACTTTTTTCAAGCAGGGCATTTCACATAGAAGCAAAGAAAAAATAGCCCTGGGTTTGGATAAATCTGGATCACTGGGGCATTGTGGATTCTGTGTAGCTTGCAACGGGTTCTTGGAGTGCCTATATCGGCATTATGAAGCTAACCAGATCTCTTTAATCCATATCTTGGCTGTATGGAAGGGTCTTGCATCTTCAAAGATTTCTTTAAATGACTAATATCATGATTCAACAATAATAGTACTTCCATAGTGTATTATGAAGGCATAAACCAGCTCCTGCCTGGAGAAAATGTAGAGTTGACTGCCAAATAGTTTCTCCTGATAGAAGGAACAGGATAAATGCCAAGTTAAACACAGAATTGGTGTTTTGCTGTCTCACAGATTGAAAATGTTGCCAAGCACAAGAGAGCAATTAGTGTACAGCTCATGGAAACAATTGAAATTAAAAATAAACCATTTTGAAACAAACTAATTTGGAAGAAAATTGTCCCTATGCGGTGCCAAAGTGGACATCCATTATGGTTTTTAAAAATGGTAGACAAGTTCCTAAGCTTAATGAATAGGTTAATGTGACAGTGTAGGATGAGTTGTAATTATCTCCATATTATAATATTCCACAGAGCAGAATGACTTTCAAGAAATATTCAGGGTGATAATGATCACTTTGACCAGTCAACTAGTTGCTTATGTGTGCCACGCTATACCACATCATGCAGAGTAAGAAAACTCACAGCATCACCATTGTGTGACATACTAGAAATGAAGACTCAGCTCTGAAAGGAAACAGAGAATGAATGTGGAAATTGAGATTTCATGTTGTCTTTTTGTCTCTGTATTTTGTTTTATTTCATCAGCAGGAGAAACCCAAACTTTTGGAGCCTTTGGATTATGAAGCAGTCATTGCAGAAATTGAGAAGGATGTTGAAAATGACCCACTCAAAGACCTCATCTTATTTCCCAAGGATGACTTTTCGGTAAGTGTTACATTAGTACAAATATAGCTAAGGCTCCAGCAAAATCATGTTAGCTCTGCTATTCCTTGCTATGGGGCACCAATTTTCTTTGGCCAGACTCATGTTAATGCACTTTCTAGCAGTTGTACTTTTTGCCAGCTCATATAGTGACAGAATCTGCTGATTTGAGCACCTATTTCTCCAGTAAATTCTGTTCTTCATGGCAATTGTGCCTTCAGACTTTATTTCCTGCCACTTGGGTTAAATCACTGAGCTGCTGAACTTTCTGACAGAAAAGGTGGTGGTTCAAATCTGGGGAGTGGGATGAGCTCTTACTATTAGACCCAGCTTCTGCCAACCTAGCAGTTTGAAAACATGCAAATGTGAGTAGATCAATAGGTACTGCTTTGGTGGAAAGGTAACGGCACTCCATGCAGTCATGCTGGTCACATGACCTTGGAGGTGTCTGCAGACAACACTGGCTCTTCAGCTAGAAATGGAGATGAGCACCATCCCCCCCCCCCACCCAGAGTTGGACATGACTGGACTTAATGTCAGGGAAAATGTTTACCTTTACCTTTTATGCCGACATGGTTATGCCAGTGTAGTCTATCAACAGGTTTCCAACCTATATCTTATAATATAGCAAACACTGATGCAGCTAATTTTATAGCAGATAGCGTCTTGGTCTAGGAATACCTCCCTCCATAGACATTATTGCTGATTTTTTACCAAAACCCAAACTTATGGTCTCCATATTCCCTTCCTGTGGTAGGAAGCCCCATCACCTTCAGGTCATGGAAATATGCTAGTTTGAAACTATGAATGTACTTACTGAGTGTGCTGCAGGTTTTATTTCTACAACGTTTTGGAGAACACTTTCCAGTTAAAGTGTGCATTGTTACAAAACATTTGAGATTCTGTGATGAAGCCATTTCAAGCTGTTTTATTGCAGCTGTTTTTAAACAAATTGAAATGACAGAACAGGAAGCTCTTCTGTTTTAAAAAAGATTGAGACAAAAATTTCTGTAGCTCGTGGTGTGAGCACACCTAATTCTCAGAAGGGAAGTTCATTTTAACTTATACCAGTCCTTTATAAAAGTTGTGATATGAATCCCTTTTAAACTCATATTTTAACCAGGGGGTTTTGTGAAGTGAGATATTTATCTTGGCTGTTATTGTTATATATTACTGTTTCTGCAATATTTGTATATAATAATAATAATAATAATCATCATCATCATCATCATCTTTATTTATACCCGCCACCATCTCCCCGATAGGGACTCAGAGCGCCTTACATGGGGCCAAGCCCGAACAACATATTCCATCAAAGGGTATCTTATGTATCTTAGCTCTAAAGGCTACTATAGCTTTAAAATATCTTAAATCTTGGTAAGCACAATCTTAAAGTCAGCAAGATTATGTGTCTAATATATATTAAGTATATTATGTGTTTGCACCCTTGAGTGCTTTGTAGGCCACCCCAAGTCCCTCTGGAAGATGGTGTATAACTAAAGTTTATTTCTCAGTTCTTGTGGGTTTTTTCGGGCTATATGGCCATGTTCTAGAGGCATTTCTCCTGACGTTTCGCCTGCATCTATGGCAAGCATCCTCAGACGTGAGGTCAGAGGTGAGGTGGCCTCACCTCTGAGGATGCTTGCCATAGATGCAGGCGAAACGTCAGGATAAATGCCTCTAGAACATGGCCATATAGCCTGAAAAAACCCACAAGAACTGAGTGATTCCAGCCATGAAAGCCTTCGACAATACATTAAAGTTTATTTATTATTTTATTTAGTTCATTTAGCTAAAAAGGAATACAAAGCAGAGCCAAATTTTTTAAACCACAGTTCACTAATATTTGTAGCCAATAGTATTTTCCCTATTGTTTTAGTAGATTACTTGGGCAAAGTCATTTGAAGAATTACTGTTTCCAGTCTCTTGTGTAATAGATCAGTATTTGTTTGCTTTTTTTTCATGGTAATCTTACAGGTTTTCTAGAATTTTTGCACCTGGCCCCTGGCTTTCTCATTTTTGGTAACCACTTCCTTCTCTTACTACAAAGACATTTGGGTATTGCATGTATTAGAAGTGCAACAATGCTTAGCACTGAAGAACCAAAAATGCTTCCGATTGGGCAGTCATAATAGGGTTAAATAGTTTGAGTGACCCAAAAATGCGCTCCTTCCTTATCTATCTATCCTGACCCTATGAGCTACAAACAAATGCTTTTTAGGAATATTTCTCCATGCAATTTTGGTTTTTGGAATAGTTTGGATTTTGGAATTTTGGATAAGGGATGCTCAACCTGTATTTTGATAGTAATGACAGGAATGTCCAGCATGTCCAGCATAGGTTTTCTTTTTCAAGTCAAGAGCGACTTGAGAAACTGCAAGTTGTTTCTGGTGTGAGAGAATTGGCCATCTGCCCAGGGGATGCCCGGATGTTTGATGTTTTACGGTCCTTGTGGGAAGCTTCTCTCATGCCCCCACATGGGGAGCTGGAGCTGACAGAGAGGGCTCATCCATGCTCTCCCCTGATTCGAATTTCTGATCTGTTGGTCTTCAGTCCTGCCAACACAAGGGTTTAACCCACTGTGCCAATGGAGGCTCCTTTCAGCAGTGTTGCCCATAGAAGTAACATGAAAGTTCTGATGATCCTTGGTCTGTGAAGACTTATTCTTTCACTCAAGATAATTCTTGATTTGACAGTTATTGGGATGTCCCAATGACATGATTGAGGCATACATGTCTTAACCATTCTATGTGCTTATTTGTAAACCTATTCCTTACTTCAGTTTTTCATGCTCTCATACTTTTCCCCCTCAGATAGCCACAGTTCCTTGGGAAATAAGAACACTTTACTCATCAGTTTCTGAAAATGCAGAACAGAAAGCAGAACATTTATTTGTTAAGGAGGTAAATTGATGTTGTTTGACTTTCTTTATCTCTAATGTTTGAAATGTTGCAGTTTAAATTTTATTTCTTTTGTTTTTTAAAAGCCCAAGCAGTGTTGTAGTGTATATAAACAATGGCATTTTTATATGTTTGAAAGAAACAAGGTGCCTAATTGTTAATTTTGATGATGATGACAACAAACAGTAATAACAATGGCAACTATGTTGGGATGGTTATTTTACACACTGCGCAGTGTCAAATGATTTCTTATGCCCTGAAGATGAACAATAAATCCACGAAAAACACTCAGTCTGCAATTTTGCATATCTTGGCATAGTGGTTTCACATGCTACAGCAAACATTTATTACCTCTTGAACTTGCTGTAGGGTTACTGAAGTTCTCGCCCTTACCTTTTGTGTCTGGAGGACTGCAAGTTGTTGTAGAAACATTTGACTCTTTGTCCATTACCTGAGACAAAGCCATTCTTTCATCCAGTAGGTCTGATGTAATCACTTTAGAAGTCTCCGTGGCTGATGTAATGATTTTGTGGCTGGGATATAGCCAAGTGCTTTGCAAGTTCCTATAATTCCCTTCTTCTCCTGACATGCATAGCAGTGGAGGAAGCTTTATTGGCTATGCTATAGGTTGGGATTGCTTTGGTTGCTGCAGAAAGAATAAAGAAGCCTTCAACCCCTTTCACGCAGCTGTATAAAATCCACACTGAACTGGATTATATGGCAGTGTGGACTCAGATAACCCAGTTCAAAACAGATATTGTGGGTTATCTGTCTTGATATTCTGGGTTACAGTGTTACCTCACTTATCACGGGTGTTACATTCCAGGACCACCCGTGATAAGTAGGGATGCTCCTCTTTTCCCCTCCCTTCCTCCCCTCTCCCATTGCACACTACACTTTCCGCTGGCTCCTCCTCTCATGCCTGGCTCCCCCTCCCCTCCTCCTCCTTCCCTGCTCGCGCGTGCTGTCAAGGAAGGAAGGAAGGAAGGAAGGAAGGAAGGAAGGAAGGAAGGAAGCCCTCCTCCTCCTCCTCCTCTTGCTCCTCCTTCCCCATTCGCACATGCTGTCAGGGTAGGAAGGAAAGGAACAAGCTCTCCTCCTCTTCCCCCTCCTCCTTCCCCTCCTCCTTCCCCACTCATGCACACTGTCAGGGAGGGAGGGAGGGAGGGAAGGAAGGAAGGAAGGAAGGAAGGAAGGAAGGAAGGAAGGAAGGAAAAGGAAAGGAAAGGAAAGGAAGCAAGCCCTCCTTCTCCTCCTCTTCTCCCTCCTCCTTCCCCGCAAAACAGCGACTCCGTGAAAAGCAAACCACAAAGTAGCAAGGGAATACTGTATATGTCTGCATGGAATGGCCCTTCATTTCTACAAAAAAAAAGGGGGGGGGCAGCACACAGGCATTGCATTAACTTCCATGTATGTATATCACTAATGGTTCCAGATCCTTTAGCTAAACAGGGTCAGTACTAGTTAGTATTTAGATGGAAGACCCCCAAAGAATACTAGGTGCTTTAAGCTATATTTCAGATTAATGACCTTGCAAGGCCACCTCTGAGTATTCCTCTTCTAGAATCATAGAATTGTAGAGCTGGAAGAGACTTTGTTGGCCATCCAGTCCAGCCCCTGCCAAGAAGCAGGAAAATCGCATTCAAAGCACCGCAGCCAGCCTCTGTTTAAAAGCCTCCAAAAGAGGAGCTTCCACAACCTCCTTAAAAAAACCTCTGATATTCATGGGGTTTCTATAAGTCAACAGACTATTTGAAGGCACACACACACACTGTCCAATTATATTTGAACAAAAAAGGGTTTACATATAGTGCTTTTGTATAACCATGGAAGCATTTGGATAGGAATTTTCCTGACTTGGCAAAGGCTCACTTTGACAAAGTATCTGTTTCCAACTGTGAACTTAAGAGAAATAGGGGGCAGAGTATTTTGAAACCTAAGAGTCAACACGGTAGCAAAGCCAGCACTGACTTTAGTGCCTTTATTGGAAGGGAAATGAGTTTCAGAGTGGAACATGGCATATTTGTAGCTGGAAATTGTTGCAAACTGGCAAGATTTAACTCAGGCCTTCCATGGAGCCAAAAGAAGTGTGAGAGCCACAGCACAATGGCAAATGCAGAGACATGGAATTATGATTTCAGTGGGAATCTGGTTAATGGAACTATGTCAGAATAAAGGCTTTAAATTGTTGCGTTTTTTTGCCTTAAGTAGTAAAGCACATGCTCCACTTTCCATTTTCAAAGCTATATATAGTAAGGGGGGAAAAAAGACTTCAACATAAAGTATTGGTAGCACCCAACTTTCTTCTGTTGCGGCTTTGAGTAAATACTTCTAAATGTCCAAATAAGGATATTTGTATGACAAATAATAAAGGACCCAAAATTCACATTCAAAATCAACAGCTTTGAACTGTGTTGGCTAGATAACTAATGTTCATGAAAGCACGCATTAGAAAGCTCTTAATGCGCATTAGTGCTATGTGGTTTGTGTAATCACCATTTGGACCTCAGACTAGTTTCAGGATTTTCTATATAATAATCTGCACACGGAAAATCCACTTTCTTCAGTACTGGTGTGAAACTCACTTAAGTGGTCTGTGCAGTTGTTTCCTCTATTAGATGAAAATGGATAATCTAAACTTGGGATTATTTTTATTTATTTATTTACATTATTTCTGTCTCACCCATTTCAGCCCAAAGGTAACTCCATTTTGTATGCACGGAAGTTCTCAATGTGATTCTGAGCCTTGAGTTTCATTTCTGAGATCAAAATTCTGTGGAGAGTCTCCAGATCTAAGTCGGGGGGGGGGGGGGGGCTCCACTTCAGAATGGTCACTCTCCATATGAAGAAAACAGCATTGGGGGAGTAGGGTATTCACCATTTCACATTTACTATTCTTTAAGAGTTCTGAGTCCCCATCAGGATAGTGAAGGGCAGTATATAAATGAAGAAAATAAATAAATAAATAAATAAATAAATAAATAAATAAATAAATAAATAAAATTTAGAGCTCTGCATTGCCCTTGCAGAACATGAAGTTTTGAGGAACCGCCCTTTATCATCCACCCATTACCCCCCCACACACACACACACACACACTCACACACACACCAAAAATAGCATTCCTTTTCCCCCCAGATGCAATCCCGACATCACCTGGGAAACATATGCCATATTTTAAGTGCTTTTTGGAATATGTGATTTCTTTTTAAAAAATGGGTCAATGAGATTATTGTCTTAAGCAGAAATTGAAAAGCCTCATTTTCGGTCTACAGTTCTCAAAATTCTCATGATCGCTAGTAAGGCTATTTAAGGATTATGGCTACTGTTGTACAAAAAGTAACTTTTACAAATGTTCCCCTTTTGGGGGCCATTTCTATGAAACAAATTTTAAGAACAATACATGCAGTTCATTTTAATATTATTTCCTAATTACCATCATAAAATGAATTCTCTTACTGCGTTCTTATTACAAAGACACAGTACAAAGAGCCAAGTGAGCTGAAAAAGCAAGATATAAATCATATTACCATAACTAGCTCAGCTATTAAAGCTGCAATTCTACTTTTAACATCCTGTGCAATTGTTAATTTCTGCTATATGGTTTAATCATTACTGGCAGAAGTTGGTTTAATACATTGTAATGACTTTTAGCCAAATACAATAAATAAATGACTGGCCATTCTCTTTGTTTTCACTTTCAAGGAATTTTTCCTAAATGTTTTCATATTTATTTTTCTTTTTGGTCTTCCTTTGAAAGGAACTAAATATTTGTGTGATAACAAAATCGGGCACAAACTATCAACATTGTACATAGCATATTTCACCACATAACAGTCACACTTCTCTTCCCCTCCGCCCAAAAAAAAACTTTTGGGGAGAGAAAAGGAAGGGTGCAAGGCATGCGATTATTATGCAGTGGCAACTACTATAATGTGCAACTATGTATATGGATAATGCTTTACTCACCCACATTGCTGCGCCCTCAAAGGAAGCACCTGTACTGATGGGTGATGCTTCACCTGCCCATGTGGGTGTGAATTCACTTCCTTGCCCATCTGGCCTTTTTCCCTTTGGGCACTATGGGGCTTGACTGGGCTGGAAGCCAAGCCAAGCTCCACAGTATCAAAATGGCAGTCACATCCTTAATTCTCTTGCTTTCGCCAGTGAACTAAGGATATTACTATTATACAGGGAAGAGCAAAATATTAATTTTGCCTTCCCCAAAAGGGGTTGCGACTCTTATGTGATGGTGACTCTTATGCAATGAAATACAATATTTCATTCAAATAGCTCACAGACTGTGTGACACAGATATTCCAAACTTCTCAACAATGGAAAGGATCTGTAATGAGCAGATAAATAAAATAACATCTTTGAGGATTCTTTGGCAAAATAAGAGACTGAGGTGATGATCAACAGAGGCACATCTAATGCCCATGCAGATACTCATATACATCTACTCACTGCCCCCTTCCATCCCTTAACACAATAAATGTATAGTAGTCATCTCCAATGGATGTGGAGTCAGTGGTTCATCTGTTAGGGATAGAAAAAAAATGATTTTACATCTTGTTGAAAAAAAAATGTTTTTATGTAGGAAGACTAACATACCAGTCAGATGTCTGTGTAAGTTTCTCCAATATTCTCATATCCAAATTACCATGTTACCTTCTGTCTTTGTGTCCTGTGAACCCCTTTGGAACACTTCGGTATGCTCAGATAGGGTGAAAATATTGTGTAAAATGTTCACATAAAACTACATCAATTGTTCACTTTTGAATGGAAAGATGAAACAGTCAAGAATTTAGATCCTTATCAAGGATTACCAAGGATGATAATCAATCATAGATATTTGTGGTGAATCACAAGGAATAAATCAGGAAAAGGAATTTTGTTGTTGTTACTAGAATCCTCCAACAAGTGTGGCTATTGGTCCAGTTTACTTAGGATTCACAAGAGCTGGAATTAAAAAGGGTAACTTGCCTAAATTCCGATACAAGTGCCATACACTCCCCGGAGGGCGGGGAGGAGGAGTGGCAGTCGTCTATAAGGTGTGCATTCCCCTGATCAGGTGCCCCATCCCACAATCATCATCATTTGAGTGTGCCGGCTTTAGGTTAGGTGACCGGGACAGGATAGGGATTCTGTTAGTGTACCGACCACCCCGCTGCACGACAGTCTCCCTACCTGAGCTAGCAGGAGTGGTCTCGGACATGGCGTTGAGCTCCCAACGGCTTTTAGTCCTGGGGGATTTCAATATCCATGCCGAGACCGCTCTTTCAGGTGCAGCTCAGGACTTTATGGCCGCCATGACAACCATGGGCCTGTCCCAACTAATATCTGGTCCCACCCATATTGCCGGACACACATTGGATTTGGTCTTTACGCAGGGATGGGGTGACGGTGTCGGGGCGGAGGAGCTGACCATCGCTCCGTTGTCATGGACCGATCACCACCTGATTAGGTTTAGACTGACTGTACCTTCTAACCTCCGCAGGGGTGGTGGACCCATTAGAATGGTCCGCCCCAGGAGACTTATGGATCCAAACGGATTCCTGACGGCTCTTGGGGAATTTCCCACCTCCCTGGCTGGCGATTCGGTCGATGCCTTGGTCTCTCTTTGGAACACCGAGATGACTAGGGCAATTGACACAATCGCTCCGGAACGCCCCCTCTCGAGTAACCGAGCCAACCCAGCTTCTTGGTTTACTGAGGAGCTGGCAGCAATGAAGCGAAAGAAGAGGCGGCTAGAGCGCGTGTGGCGGAAGAATCCGACTAAATCAGCCCAAACACATCTGAATGCCTTTTTAAGGTCCTACGGTGTGGCAATAGAGGCAGCACAAAAAACATCTTTTGCTGCCAATATTTTGCTGCATCTGCGAAGAATCGTCCAGCTGAGCTCTTCTGAGTTGTCAGGGGTCTGTTAAATCCGCCGAAAAGCGAGATCCCTGACAGCTCTGGAGCTCGCTGTGAAGCGTTTGCTCGATTTTCGCAGATAAAATTGAGCGGATTCGGTCGGGTTTTGACGTCATGTTAACGGCAGTCTCTGGGGATGTAACGAGAGCATCTGCTTGTCCAGGTTTGTTGGATTCGTTTCAATTGGTTCAGCTTGAGGATGTGGACAGGATCCTTGGAGAGGTGCGACCCACTACATGCATCCTAGACCCCTGCCCATCCTGGCTGATAAAAGAAGCCAGAGGGGGTTTGGCAGAGTGGGTGAAGGTGGTGGTTAATGCCTCCTTGCAGGAGGGCAAGATTCCAGCGAGCTTAAAGCAAGCTATTATCAAACCGCTGTTGAAAAAACCATCACTGGACCCCACTCAATTAGACAACTATCGGCCAGTTTCCAATCTCCCCTATTTGGGCAAAGTCATGGAACGTGTGGTGGCAGCACAACTCCAGGGATTTCTGGTAGACACTGATTATCTTGATCCGGCACAGTCGGCTTTAGACCGGGACATGGAACGGAAACAGCCTTGGTCGCCTTGGTAGATGATCTTCGCAGGGAGCTAGACAGGGGGAGTGTGTCCCTGTTAGTTCTGCTGGACCTCTCAGCGGCCTTCGATACCGTCGATCACGGTATCCTTCTGGGACGCCTCACAGATATGGGACTTGGGGGTACTGCTTTGCAGTGGCTCCGGTCCTTTCTGGAGGGTCGGTCCCAGAAGGTGTTATTGGGTGACACCTGTTCGGCCCCACAGCCATTGTCATGTGGAGTCCCTCAGGGATCAATTCTGTCCCCGATGTTGTTTAACATCTACATGAAGCCGTTGGGAGAGATCATTCGGAGTTTCGGGCTGCGATGTTATCTCTATGCAGATGATGTCCAGATCTGTCACTCCTTTCCTCCTGTCACCAAGGAGGCTGTCCAGACCTTGAACCGGTGTCTAGCTGCTGTGTCGGACTGGATGAGAGCTAACAAATTGAAATTGAATCCAGACAAGACAGAGATCCTACTGGTCAGTTGTAAGGCCGAACAGGGCATAGGGTTACAGCCTGTACTGGATGGGGTTACACTCCCCCTGAAGTCGCAGGTTCGCAGCTTGGGAGTGATCCTGGATTCACCGCTGAGCCTGGAACCCCAGGTCTCGGCGGTGGCCGGGAGAGCTTTTGCACAATTAAAACTTGTGCACCAGTTGCGCCCGTACCTTGGGAAGTCTGATCTGGCCACGGTGGTCCACGCTCTTGTTACATCCCGAATAGACTACTGCAACGCTCTCTACGTGGGGTTGCCCTTGAAGACTGTTCGGAAACTTCAACTAGTCCAGCGAGCGGCAGCCAGATTGCTCACCGGGGCGACATACAGGGAGCATACCACCCCCCTGCTATGCCAGCTCCACTGGCTGCCGGTTCAGTTCCGAGCACAATTCAAAGTGCTAGTCTTGACCTATAAAACCCTGTACGGTTCCGGTCCACTGTATCTGTCCGAACGCATCTCCTGCTACGTCCCGCCTCGGAGCTTGAGATCATCTGGGGAGGTCCTGCTCTCGACCCCACCACTCTCACAAGTGAGGCTGGTGGGGACGAGGAGCAGGGCTTTCTCAGTGGTGGCCCCTCACCTGTGGAACGCACTCCCCGGGGAAATCAGAGCATCACCATCCCTCCTCTCCTTCAGGAGGAGGGTGAAAACTTGGTTATGGGACCAGGCCTTTGGGCAACCAGGCAATTAAAGACTAGCAGGATGGACGAAATGGTACTAAAAAACGGATCTATGAGACAGCAAACACTGACAATGCAAGGGAGGAATCTAGGTTTGTATTGATTTTATTGATTTTTATTGATTTTTTATTGGAATAATGCATGATGATGTTAGTAATTGTGAATTTTACTGTAAGTTGTGATGATTGTTGTGTTGCCGGCATCGAATCGTGCCTTACTGTGTAAGCCGCCCTGGGTCCCCTTCGGGGTGAGAAGGGCGGGGTAAAAGAACCCCAAATAAATAATAAATAAATAAATACAAAATTTGGAAGTGTTCCTTTAGGCCACCTCAACTCTTCAGTATTTCCTAGTCAACACGATCAGTTTCTACACTGGTTGTTCAATTCTGGGAGGCGTAGTCCAAAACTCTGTCTTTTTAGAGCTTTGTGTTAGTATATTTCTTTCTCACATGATCATCTTGCATGTGCGTTGAACTGCCTACTGAGTTTAACTAAACTACACATGTTCTTTTTTCTTTGATATAGGCATGTAAATATTACAGTTCCCAATGGCACATTGTAAATTACAAATATGAACAGTACTCATCAGATTTTAGACATTTACCACGGTAAGTAACTGTATTTTTCTTAATGTTTTTTAAAATGCTATACTGGTTGTTTGCAGTTAAATTAAGAATGTGCAGCTTCCCCCAACATCCAGTAAGTTCACTGAGGGCACTATATGTAAAGTATTTTCACATTGTAGTTCTGATCCCTTTCATCTTTGTTGTTGTTGTTGTTCATTCGTTCAGTCGTCTCCGACTCTTCGTGACCTCATGGACCAGCCCACGCCAGAGCTCCCTGTCGGCCGTTACCACCCCCAGCTCCCTCAGGTCAGTCCAGTCACTTCAAGGATGCCATCCATCCATCTTGCCCTTGGTCGGCCCCTCTTCCTTTTGCCTTCCCTTTCCCCAGCATAATTGTCTTCTCTAGGCTTTCCTGTCTCCTCATTATGTGGCCAAAGTACTTCATCTTTGTCTCTAGTATCCTTCCCTCCAGTGAGCAGATGGGCTTTATTTCCGAAAGTATGGACTGGTTGGATCTTCTCGCAGTCCAAGGCACTCTCAGAACTTTTCCTCCAACACCACAGTTCAAAAGCATCTATCTTCCTTCGCTCAGCCTTCCCTAAGGTCCAGCTCTCACATCCGTAGGTTACTACAGGGAATACCATGGCTTTGACTAGGCGGATCTTTGCTGCCAGTGTGATGTCTCTACTCTTTACTATTTTATCGAGATTGGACATTGCTCTCCTCCCAAGAAGTAAGCGTCTTCTGATTTCCTGGCCACAGTCTGCATCTGCAGTAATCTTTGCACCTAGAAATACAAAGTCTGTCACGGCCTCCACGTTTTCTCCCTCTATTTTCCAGTTGTCAATCATTCTTGTTGCCATAATCTTGGTTTTTTTGACGTTTAGCTGCAACCCGGCTTTTGCGCTTTCTTCTTTCACCTTGATTAGAAGGCTCCTCAGCTCCTCCTCGCTTTCGGCCCTCAGAGTGGTGTCATCTGCATATCTGAGGTTGTTAATGTTTCTTCCAGCCATTTTCACCCCAGCTTTGCATTCATCCAGCCCCGCACATCGCATGATGTGTTCTGCATACAAGTTAAAAAGGTTGGGTGAGAGGATGCAGCCTTGCCGTACGCCTTTCCCAATCTTGAACCAGTCTGTTGTTCCATGGTCAGTTCTTACTGTTGCTACTTGTTCCTTGTACAGATTCCTCAGGAGAGAGACAAGGTGGCTTGGGATGCCCATCCCACCAAGAACTTGCCACAATTTATTATGATCCACACAGTCAAAGGCTTTAGAATAGTCAATGAAGCAAAATAGATGTTTTTCTGAAACTCCCTGCCTTTCTCCATTATCCAGCGGATATTGGCAATTTGGTCTCTCGTTCCTCTACCTTTTCTAAACCCAGCTTGAACATCTGGCAACTCTCGCTCCATGTATTGCTGGAGTCTTCCTTGCAGGATCTTGAGCATTACCTTATTGGCATGAGAAATAAGGGCCACTGTACGGAAGTTTGAGCAGTCTTTCGCATTTCCCTTTTTTGGTATGGGGATATAAGTTGATTTTTTCCAGTCTGATGGCCATTCTTGTGTTTTCCATATTTGCTGGCAAATGGCATGCATCACCTTGACAGCATCATCTTTTAAGATTTTAAACAGTTCAGCTGGGATCCCGTCATCTCCTGCTGCCTTGTTGTTAGCACTGCTTCTTAAGGCCCATTCAACCTCACTCCTCAGGATGTCTGGTTCTAATTCATTCACCACACCGTCAAAACTATCCTCAATATTATTATCCTTCCTATACAGATCTTCTGTATAGTCTCGCCACCTTCTCTTGATCTTTTCAGCTTCTGTTAGGTCCCTGCCATCTTTGTTTCTTATCATACCAATTTTTGCCTGAAATTTACCTCCAATGTTTCTAATTTTCTGGAAGAGGTCTCTTGTCCTTCCTATTCTGATGTCTTCTTCAACTTCCATGCATTGCTTATTTAAAAATAGTTCCTTATCTCTTCTGGCTAACCTCTGGAATTGCGCATTTAACTGGGCATATCTCCCCTTATCCCTGTTTCCTTTTGCTTTCCTCCTTTCTTGGGCTACTTCCAGTGTCTCAGCAGACAACCATTTTGCCTTCTTGGTTTTCTTTTTCTTTGGGACGTACTTTGTTGCCGCGTCCTGAACAATGTCTCGGACTTCTGTCCATAGTTCTTCTGGGACTCTGTTTACTAAATCTAGTCCTTCAAATCTGTTCTTCACTTCCACTGTATATTCGCTAGGAATGTTAGTGAGATCATATCTAACTGGTCTGTGTATTTTCCCTGATCTCTTTAGTTTTATTCTAAATTGGGCAATAAGAAGTTCGTGATCTGAGCTACAGTCAGCCCCAGGTCTTGTTTTCACCGACTGGATGGATGTCCGCCACCTTTGGCTGCAAAGTATGTAGTCAATCTGATTTCGGTGTTGACCGTCTGGTGAGGTCCATGTGTAAAGCCGTCTTTTAGGTTGTTGGAAGAGAGTATTCGTTATACACAGCGAGTTTTCCTGGCAAAATTCTATCAGCCTGCGTCTCGCTTCATTTTGTTCTCCCAGACCATGCTTGCCTGTGATCCCAGTTGTCATTTGACTTCCCACCTTGGCATTCCAGTCTCCTGTAATGAAAATAATGTCTCTTTTTGGTGTATTATCCAGTAGGTCCTGCAGATCCTCATAGAACTGATCTACTTCTGCTTCTTCAGCAGCTGTGGTTGGGGCGTATATTTGGATCACTGTAATGTTGAAAGGCTTTCCTTGCACTCGAATTGAGATCATTCTGTCATTTTTTGGGTTGTATCCAAGCACCGCTTTAGCGAATTTCTTATTAATTATGAAGGCTACTCCATTTCTTCGATGTTCCTCTTATCCGCAGTAGTAGATCTGGTGGTCATCTGATGTGAAGTGGCCCATTCCAGTCCACTTCAGTTCGCTGACCCCCAGAATGTCTATCTTTAGTCTTGACATCTCGCCAATAACAACATCCAATTTGCCCTGGCTCATAGATCTTACATTCCAGGTTCCTATGGTGTGTTGATCTTTAGAGCATCGGATTCGTCGTTCACCTCCAGTACCGTCGGCCGCTAGCCTTCCTTTCGGCTTTGAGCTAGCTGCGTCATCACATCTGGGGCTAGTTGAACTTATCCTCTGCTCCTCCCCAGTATCATTTTGGCCATCTTCCGACCTGGGAGTCCCATCTTCCAATGGCATACCGACATATCTCTGGTTGTACTGGTCCATTTAGTTTTCTTGGCAAGGATACTGGAGTGGTTTGCCATTGCCTTCCCCAGGGATCACGCTTGGTCTGACCTCTCTGCCACAACCGTCCCGTCTTGGGTGTCCCTTCACGGTTTCGCTCATGACATCATTGAGGTGCTCAAGCTCCAGCGCCCCGACAAGGCGGTGATCCTTTGCTGGAGTTCATCTTTAAGGAACTCCAATGATTTGAATTTTCTCCAGTAGGAGTTCTTATTCATCAACGATGAACTGAATCACATTGTGTTAATGTAGGTAAAACCGAAAACAAGTAACATGGACATTCTGGATTTAACTTTCATTCTTCAGCTGTCTAGGTCATTGCTGCTCAAATTGATGGGCTGTGGGATGGTGAGATAGTGGCTGCTAGTGTGCAGCAAGAAAGGTAGAAAGAAACTGTTGTGATACATATACATTATGTACATATACATTGTGTACATATAGGGTGCCAATCCCTAACACTTTAGGGTAAAACCACTGCCGTTTCCCCACATTAGGTAGCTTATATCTGTGTTTTACCTATTAACATATTATATAGATCAATGGTTCCCAACCTGTGGATCATGGCCCACTGGTGGGCTGCGAGACCTAAAATAAGGTCAGCAGCTCTAGATTATTAAATATGGTTTTCTGTGGGTGAGGAGATAGCGACTGCTGGAGGGCATATGTTCTGTAACAGAATAAGAGCTGATGTGGTCTATCCAATGCAATTTTCTGATTCAGTGCCCCAAATAACCAAACAGAATCTAAAGTTGACCAAAAACTAATTCTTAACCCTTTTGGTACTAATGTTGGAGAATGGTCCCTGGTCAAGTGGTGCCTGTTATAATTTTGAGGCTCTTAGAAGGCCAGGGGGACCAGCCAATCACGTTTGGATTGTCTGTCTGTCTGGAAAGAAGGTCCAGGATCACAGACTTGACTTAAGTACCCTTTGGAAGCATATAAAGTGGCACCTGCCAGTCAGCTTCCAAGCTTCGTTTGCTAATCCTGTCTAAATTCTGTATTTGAGCTAGCTGCATTTCTAGGCTTATGCTGCTTTAGCACATCTGAAATGGTAATTTTGTCTCAACTTCATTAATTGTTGTATGAGGCCAGATGAAGTTTGTAGGCACTTTGATTGTATTTTCCTGGCTGTGCTGGATAGTGTGTCTTCCAACCCCATTATTCTATGGCTGCAGCCTACGACCTAGTGTGAGAGTCCCCTTAAACGTGCAAACAACCAGGGTCATGCATAAACTGGGGGTCACTTGACACTTGCTAATTTCCACGTGAAAGGGAAAATAGAGAGTATCTTCCAGCCATATGGAATCCCACATCTGTCATTTTATGTCTTCTTTGAAAGCAGGCTGGATTAATCAGTTTCCATTGGCCAGCAAGTCAAATAGTGCCTAACTCTGGACACATAGTGGTAAAATCTTCATCTGTAACTAATGAAGTTGTGGCCTCTTTCCATTCCAGCAAACACTCTCTGTGCTCATTCTATGCCAAGCAAAGCTTCTCTCCCCCACTTTCTGGGTCTACAACAATAGAAGTTCCAGTGAGGAAACTGATTTGCTTATTTTTCAGTTGGTTCTTTCAGGTTCCCCAACTATGAGTTTTAGGATTTTTGTCTCAAGGCTGCCATTTTTAGGTTTCTATGGGTTCCTGAATGAATATTCAAGATCAAATCCAAAGTTGCTTCTGTCTTCCCAGCCTAGTCTTGACATAACTCTGTATTGTATTCTCTATGGCGGAAGCAAGACTATACCTCTCATATAGATTTTTCTGATCTTAAAGCCCCACCAACTGCCCTCATTTTCTCTCCCTTCATTTCAAGGACTACAAACTAGGCAGGAACCTTGAAAGATCATTCTGACCAATCCCAGTTTCTACCAGACCTTTCCTCCTCCCCTTTTTTATGCTACATCTTTCTTTTTTCTTTTTTTTTTCTTTTTTTTTTTTGGTAAGAAATGAAATGAAACACTCACTGCTATGAGGCAGAAGTTATCTGAGAAGTTACACCTATTTTTAAAATGTTAACATAGTGTAATGATTTGATCATTGAACTACAACTGTGGAGACTAACGTTGAAATCCCTGCTTGACCATGGAAACCCACTGGGTGAACTTGGGCAGTTATATTCCTTCAGACTTAGAGAGATGCAAAGTCAAACCCCATCTGAACACATCTTTCCAAGAAAACTCTATGACCCATTCACTTTAGGATCACCATAAACACCTTGAAGACACACAACAATATTTCAAAATAAATAAATAAATGACCCAGAAGGAGGGTACCATCATTATAGCAAACTACTTTTTTAGCATTTGTTAATATAATGGGGCCGGTCCAACTGGCTTTCCTTTTTTTTTTTTTTTTTTTGGCATAAATCAGCACCTTGGTTTTGAATTTGTTTACTATGAGCCACATGAGATGACACTCCAGGGGGGGGGGGGGGGGGGGGGTGTTAGTACTGCTGGCATGACTGCAGCCTTGGAGCACTGACCTGGCAAGATTCAATTGTTTCCTCCCCTTGAGGCATGTTGTGCTGGTAGATTGTTTCACATAACCACAGAGAATATATAGATTGGTAGAGGAGTCAACAGCATTTATCAATAAATAGTAGAAACTTTTCAGAAAATTGTTCTATGAGGAAATGGTCAAACAGTGTTGGTGACTTCTTGACTGAGATGTATCAATTTACCCTCCTCCCCCCACACACAAAATACCAAATTCTTTTGCCCTAGAAATGGGGAAGGACTAAGTTAGGAAAGTCTTGGTTCCTAATATGTGGTTAGTAACCAGTGTAGATCCTCCACAAATTTGTAGTTTCTTACAGCTGGAAGAAACTGCATTTTAAAAGACACATATAGCAACAAGTTCTAGCAAAGTAGAGGTGTTTTGAACAACTGGAATATTTGTGGCATACTCTTGTGGGGGACAGGTCTTACCGCTGCAATATAAAGTATATCAGCTTTATCAATATTACAAACTTTCTATAGTTTCATCATTATCTTGTTTGTTTAATTTACATCCTGGCTTTTGAGATCTCCATGCCCACTCACAGCATAACATTATTTAGGTTATGCTTATACCAGTTAGATCAACTCTAAACATGTTTATTCAGAGTTAAGTCATCTTGGAATCAGAGGATTTACTGTCTAGTTAAAGTGTTATTTGGTTTGCAGTCTTGCTTCTGTTGTACTCAGTAAAAGAAATCAACTGTAACTCAAATATTCCATATGTAAACCCGATTGAATCAGACTGCTCCAAGGTATCCATCTAAAATCCAATTAGGTATTATTCATATTTGTTACGGTTACTTAGTATGTTCTAGTAAGTAATTAAATGTAGATTCTTATCCTCACTGTTTCAAGAGAAATATCCTCAAGGAGAATGCAAAATTATGCCAAGCTATGTTGATCGGTGTACACAAAACATTTTTAGCATTTTTCCTTTCCTCCTGCAAAATACTTTTTATAAACGTAAGGGATCATAATTGACAATTTTTGACTGTATTATAACAAGGATCACTTCCAACAATATATTATGATTTCTGGGGAAAATCCTGTTTTTCTCCCAACTGTTTTATGCTTGCTACTCCAAAGGGCACATAGAGGCCTGAGGGAGATGGCAGGTGATGTTATTGTCTTTGCTAATCACAAAGTTCAGTGCTTTAACATAATCCTGATTCTACTACATTGCAGATGTCAGTGATACTGAAATGCTGAACCAATCGGAGTTGGACAAAATTACTTTTTCGTACTACAATTCTACAATACGAGAATCAATTTATTATTGCTGTTCTGTTATAATTTTCATACAACATAGTGATATCTAATGGCTTCCAGGTGGATGGGTGTTGAATTCAGTCTGAAGTTAATATAAACTTTAAAAAAGTTGTTTATGGTGGTTATATGCATCTCTCAAATAGATTGAGCACCTTGGATAGCTCCTCTTAAGTGTAAACTACATCCTAGCATGGATTCACCAGTTTATTAAAATTGCCAAGCAGTGGTCAAGATTGAGCATCCTTATCCAGAAATTCAAAATCTAAAAAATGCCAAATTGTCTACATCAGTGACTGAGATTGTGAAACTTGATTAATTGGTTTCATGCACAAAATTATTAACAATATTTTGTATAAAATTACCTTTAGTCTATGCGCACAAGGTATATATGAAATACTATATTAATGAATTGTTTGTTTAGGCTTGTGTTCCATCTCCAGGACAATTAATTATGTACAGTATATATACAAATACAGGTATTCCAAAATCCAAAACACTTTTGGTTTTGAGCATTTCAGATAAGAGATGCTCAATCCGAATATACACTTTAGCATACATTCAAAGTTTAATACCTTATACTGTTCTTTCTAAAGGAATATTTCAATTTAAAAAGTCCCAAGATTGAAAAAGCTTCTTTTTACACATCTTTCCATGCCTGAAAAATGCCAGCCTGCTTTCTTCCTTGTCTCCTATCTAACTAGATAACATTGGCTTTGGGAAGACAACAAAATAGGGTTGAAGACACACAAACTTCTGTTGAGTTAACAGAAACTTGTCTTCAGCAAGACAAGTAGTAAAGCATGAGCCAATGTTAACTGGGATCCTGTTCTAGCCAACCCTATTGTAGCTGTGTATGCCTATCTACAACTGTTAAGATAAACAGCAGCTACTTCCAGACTTTCTTACTGAACATTCATGGCAATCTTACTATGTCCATTCTCTCTAGAGCAGTGGTTCTCAACTTGTGGGGCCCCACGTGTTTTGGCCCACAACTCCCAGAAGTCCCAGCCAGTTTACCAGCTGTTAAGATTTCTGGGAGTTGAAGACCAAAACATCTGGGGACCCACAGGTTGAGAACCACTGCTAGAGGTTTTAGGGCACTGTATTTTTTTTTTGAAAAGCCACTTTTCCATGCTCTTAACACTTGTATTATTGCAATCATCTAAAAGTTACAGAAAATGAAAGCTTCAGATTGCATCCATGTGCAGTGCCATTTAAAAAACCATAACATATTATTTCATCTATTTCTTTCTTTTTAGCAATGAATGCAGGCCAGAAAAACTTCCTTCACATTCCTTTGAAATTGATCATGAAGACATTGACAAGGATGAAGTAAGCATTTCTTCCTCCCACCACTATCTCTTTTCTCATTGCTGATTTAGCACTATTGTATGAAAGGCTTTCCGTTTCAGTATGTAATCAAAATAAACCTACTTTGTTATTCTGTGTGCATTGGGGAAATATCTAAGTTTAAAAGAGCCGATACTTGTTCCTATCAAACAAGCACTCAGTCACACAGTATTTTTTTTACATTTTTCAACTCAACCTAAAAACAAATTCATATCAACAGTATTTTTCACTCAGGATACAACGTCCCACTCATCTTCGAAAGGAGGAGGTGGAGCAGGAGGAACGGGTGTTTTCAAATCTGGCTGGCTTTATAAAGGGAATTTTAATAGCACAGTAAACAACAGCATTACAGTTCGGGTAAGGAAGTAATAAGTACTGTGTATTTATCTCTCTGCTCCATTCTATCTTTCCTCTAATTATCATGGTATTTCCGGTTTGAATTTTCATTTTAGCTTTCTATGAGTGTAGCTGTGCTAGACTACTGAAGGAACTTTACATCACTTTAATTTCCAGGGTATAGATAAATTACCAAATTCACCTGTTCAATGGGTATAGATCCATTGAGTTGTGCGTTTTCTAGAGTTTAAGTTTGTTACATAGTAAGTCCCCAAATTTTGATAGGGGAAAAAAGGGTAAACTGTAAAAATATCAGCTTGTATGTTTATTCCTTTTTACTGCAAACATCAAACTGTGGCATCCAGGACCTTAAAATGGCTGAGAGTTTTACATTGGATGATAGAGAATAGTCTCCAATGCGGTCCTCATGCCTATTGAAAACTGTTTAAAAACACACCTGTGGATGCATATTCAATATTATATACAGCTCTCTAGAGTCAAGCAATTTGCCTCTTAAAGAACTAATTACTTTCCTGTTGCTAGAAGCTACAGATTTTATGTAATGTATTGTAAAGGAGATTCAGCTTTAAGGGTAACAGGCTTATGTTAATGTCTTATTATAAAAGTTAACAACACAAGCCAACTGAGCTAAAGGACAAATGGACATTTGAGGTTGTCTGGCTTTATTGGTTTTATTAACAAAGTTGGTAGAGGTCTGGATGCTACAGTCGCAATGGATAGAGAACTCTGGAGAACTACGCTCAGTTAAACAGCAACTCTGTAATGATACTTGAGCATAACCTTTGCTCCATGTTATGTTTCTTTTTAGTAGAGGCTTATTTCTCACCTTTAAAATGTTGGGATATGATGAGATGATTAGAATTCTCTGCTACAAAGTTGTAGTGTGTAGTTCAGGGGAGATCTCTGATCATCTCACCAAGCTATGACACTTTAAAGTGGCATCAAATTGTTGTAATGTGAAGGATAGATAAATTAGGAACATATTCAATCAGGTATTTATGCTATGATACGTATCCATTTACCTTAGAACAAGTACTATTAAATTCAGAGAGGGTAACTCTTGAATAGATACATATGACCGCACCCTATATGGCACAAAAATGGGTGATACTATTATCATTTGAAAATAAGTTGACTACAATGGTTTTCTGGGATATTTCTTTTAAATATCCTTTCTCTAAATAAACCATCCATCAGAATTAAATTGCCTGAAAGCTTATCTTGTTTTTCATTTCTTTTCATGTAGTCTTTCAAAAAGCGTTACTTCCAGCTGACACAATTGTCAGATAACTCATACATAATGAATTTTTACAAAGATGAAAAGATTTCAAAGGAACCTAAAGGCTGCATCTTTTTGGATTCCTGTACAGGGGTTGTGCAGGTAAGCCAACATTTTATTTGGTTTTATATATGCAGCCAATAGAGATGTAATGCTTTACTATTTTTTTTCTCAAAGGAAGATGTGAGTAAGCTGGATCTACACTGCCAAATAATGCAGTCTGAACTGCATTATGTGGGTCTACACTGACCATACAATCTAGCCTTAGTTTAACTATTTTCCTTGCTTCTGTAAAATTGTCATAATTATATACACAATTTGAGATATATTTGGTGTAAATTCTGCATGTAATTATTTTGTACAGAAAACATCATTTTATATACAAAAATATTGTTTTCTAACAGAAGAAAGTACTTTCTTGTGCAAGTCATCCATATTTGAATTTTACACAAAATAAGTCTCCAACTGCAGTATTTTCTGCATGTAAAACAGCTATTCTTTTGCCAAACTTATTTCTGCATAGAAATATTATTGTATGCTGGGTTTTATGCAGAAAATGCTGCTTTTCGGTGCCAAATAACCATGTGTGAATTTTGTACAGAATGGGTCCCCAACCATGAGATTCTCATCAGTGTAGGATTTTTCTCACTCAAGTTTCTCAGGAATTGTAACACATGTTTTTAAAACTATCTTAAAATATTTTTCAATATTATTTCCATCCATAATGGGCAAAGTTTTGGGGAAGTCACCAAAAAGACCCTCTTTTGTCTTACTAATTTAAATTAAATGTGAGGTCTTCTAAGAAGTGTCACTCTCTTGCTAGATTAGAAGCAGTTCTTGTAATATTATTTCACTTGATCCAGTTGTTTAGGGACACTTAAGGTGGTTCTGATATGCATGAAAAGTTCCCAACTGTTCATTTCTCTGAACATGAGTAAATATTCTTACATTTTAGAAGAATATTGGCTCATATTTGTGAGTTGGATGTTAACAAGTAGACTTTTTAAAAGTACTCTGTTATGTAGCTATGGCTATCTAATCAGTCTTCTTGATGAATGTTTGAGTTTTAAAGCTATATTATATTTATCTTTACTGAACAGAGGAAATAGGCCCCAAAAGTAGATGCAAATAATTTCTGACTGACCACAATGCTTCTGACTGATTCCAGCATCTAAATTAGTTGTAACATCCATTCATATTTTTCAGTGATGTTTCTGGTATGATGACATCGAGTATGTAAAACATGGGCTTTGCCTCACGTGTATTTGATAGTATTATGTTTTATCCATTTAGAGAAGGGACTGTGGTTTTTTTAATAATTGATCTGATGTGATTTATTAAATAGCGCTAATAAGCAAGTGTGGTGAATGAATTAAAGCAACTGATTTCATATGGTTTCTTTAAGTAACACAACATTACTAATTCTCTGAGTAATGCAGATTCTTTTAAGTAGTTGGGAAAGCAATCTGGTATGGAAGAAATATTGGCATCTCTGTAAGTTGGATACATATTTAGAGGAGACTTATCTCAATCAATTGGATTTTAGTGAGTCTGTTCAAAATATGAGTCATGATCCAGTCCTTGCACAGCAAAATATAAAGTTTAATATTATGAGGAGACCTATCTCCTTTGAAATACAATCATGGTAACAGAGATACTCAAGATTAACCTTATGCTATTTAGTGCTTTTTTTTCTTGAACAGTATTAAATATAATACACAACAAATGAAACATCAATGTGAAGGAGAAATAGGATTAGAAATTTATGTCCAGCAAGTGACATTTCTTCCCCCATTTTTCCCATCCAAAATACCCCCTTGGTCCATGAGAAAACATAACTGGCACTTATAATGCACAGAACCGGATGCTATAGCACGAGGATCCTCAATTTTTTTAAAACCAAGGGGTGGTTCACTGCCTGAAGTTTTTTTTTAGGAGAGGGGGAGGTAAATTACCATGGAGGGTTGCATCCAGCCCACGGCCCTTCCTTTGGGGGTCTCTGCTATAGATAATGGGCAGCTACCCAGTTTACCATTCGTCCTTATTTGCTACTTAGTTTAGAGTTAAATCTTTTATACTCTGAAAATTCCCAATTTTCTGATCCACGAAGAGTCTTGTATTTCTTTCTATTGAATGTCGGAAAAGAATGGGTATTGGCTTCATATAAGAAAGAAGAGGCTGGAACAAAGTTAAAAAACTTATATAAACTCTATAAACACAAGTCATCTTTCTAATGGCTATGTGGTTTTAAGGGGCGAGTAATTCCACAAGACATTAGATATAATCTAGGCCAAGTCTGGAATATCTGTCCCAATGTATATGATGTGGTATTTCTGACATTCTTTTCAGATGTTCTAATATTGAAGCTTAAATTTAATTTTGGAGATTGCTAGATCAAAAACCCAATTCTGTAGTGGTAGCAATAGTAAAGATGAAAATGAAATTGGGGTGGGAGTATTTTAGCTATTAACTCACCACAGAAGGAAATATTTGGCTATAGAATTGAAAATAAGAAGCCCTTGTATGTGATTGCCAAAACTTTGAAGTATCAATCTTGTAAGCAGATATTGAATTCTTGCAGTTTTGGTGTTTAAGACTCAGTATGCTTTCTGTTAGAAAAACAACACAGTAGCAGTAACAGCTTGCCAGTATTCTATGTACTATCTAATTTGAATGACTTTGCAAGAATGAATTGCACACTGCAGAAGAACATCCAAATCAACTACATTTTTCTTTGAGGAACAAAGAAAGCTGTTTTGTGTGAGAAGTGGAAATCATGAGGTCTGTGGTCTGCATGCAGGCTTTGGAGATTTTCAACAAATATTTCCATTTCTGGATCCTTCTCCCTTCCAAAAAAATTAGCAGAAAAATAATGCTTTGAAGGATATTTCTACTGTTTGGAGAGACCCAGGGCAAAAACCAAAAATGACATCCAAAACTGTCCAGAAGCAACTAGAACATCAGTCCCAGTTCTACAAAACAGTGGTGATGTAGCCTGTGCTAATTGCAGAGGAACTGAAAATTGCTTTGCATCCATCTATGTATGCTCACCAGTGTCTTCTAGTGAGTCATATTTTGGTTCTTCTAATTCAGTTTTGTCAATTTATTTGCCCTGTGGTAACACAACTGAAGAAGGTGCTCAACAACCTCAAAAACTGAACAAAAAGAAGAGTTCTTCAGTTTCAAGTCAAGAGAAATGTGCAGTTCCCAAAGTAACAGGATGAAGCCCAGAATTAATAGGATAGATTCCTCCTTTGAAATTCAGGGCACAAAATCTTAACCAGTTTCTTGTTGCATACCTTATCAAAGGTTGCCCTCATCAGCTGGTCTATTTCTGTTTGGGAACAAGTTGATGACAATTATACTGGATTGTTTGCCTCCTATTTGTCAGTTCAGCTGGAAACCTCTTCGAGTTCAATCTTTTTGAACTGATGTCCAAGCTGCATAACACTTTCTTCAGTTTTGATCCTTTAAAGCCTTGCTAGCTTTATAAAAAAAAATATAGAGAACTTCCCTGGCTCTCTTTTTGAGGCTTGTGTAGACACGGTTCCTGGTTTTTGTTTTGCATGCAGGGTTGCAAAGAATTCCTGGGAAAGCAGAAGACCTCTTAATCTTTTTTTATAAATGTGTGTGAGGGCTGAAAAATAAAATGTACGTGTATCTTAAGAGAAAGCAAGAAATTATACAAATGAAACTGTCTCAATTCTATGTCCAAGTGTACAGAATAATACATCAAACAGATATTTTGAGATGTTTTGCAGTTTTCTAAGCTGTGTGTGTCAGTTTTTCTGAATCACTTTATGGGAAGAAATAAAGGACACAAATCCATTCACACCAGCTGAATATGTGTCTCAAGTGTCTAAACAGCTGTATTAGTCATCACAGTTGTATGTGGATATTTCCAACTAGCTCCTAGAAAATAATTGGCAATGGTTCATGATCTAGTGGTTCTCACACATGTGCACATAAAACTCCATATATATTGAGTTTCTCCTACATAGAATGAGCAAAAGGAAATCCAATACATACAAAAAAAAGCAAACAAGCCATGTACTAGCAAAATGATTTTAAAAGGGGAGGAGTAGACAGGCATTGCAACATTCTGAAGCAGCATTTTGTGTCAGTGTGTGTGTATTGTTATGATTTCCCAAAGGATTCAAAGGTCTAAACTGGGATATGCACATCATGTTGGACCATCATATGTATATATTTGGAGGAAAGGAAATGATACTAGCCATCCAGGATTTCCCCCTTCTTCTTTTAAACCAGCTTAAAAGTCACATGTTTTATCAGCAGCAAGAATAGCACTTTGTCTAATGCAATAGTACTTTTTGCCAGAGTACACAGAGGTTCTTATGCCAAGGCATTCTGGGAAGAAAGCATGGTGTCAGCAAGGTGAAAGACAAATTGTCTGATCTGTAAGAAGCCAATGTATATCCATGCATCAGTTTCTTTCTGCAGTGGAAACTATGGGAGAAGACATAATATTATCTATGGGAGAAGATGGTGTCATCTAGAGGCCGGGCTCTACTGCCGAAACCAGAACAAATGGCTGTCAAATAATAGGAGGAGGAGGAAGAGGGAACCTTCACATAGAGCTAAACCCTCACCCAAAATATTGCTGGCACTTAGAAAGCTATACAGGCTTGTCAGCTCTGGCCACAAAATCTGTAGTGGTGCAGAAGTCACTCCTGGTTGTTTGCATAATGTCCAGGGACTCTTTTCCTAAATGTAGGGTAAGGCAGGTTGTAGAGGGAAAAAAAGCTGAGAAATGCTCTAAAGCTTTAGCCCCACATTTTGAGCAGTGTTTGGATAGCATGACCAGCTCTGATGTGGACTGGTTTGCTGTCTCCGTGGGTCACTGTTACCATCCCATTTCCCTACATTTATAAATGCAGGGGAAGGGGGTGGATTGGACCATTATCACTGTCACTATTGCAGATAGTGGTGGATCTCCAGGAGAGCTTCTGATCATCATGAGTACCTTGTGACAGCATCAGTAGAGGTGCTTATATGACCAGGGAGAAGGCAATGCTCCCTCCTTTTCCTTGGCCACACGGACACCACAGCTGATGTCAGTGCAAGACTCTCGCAACAACCAAAAACTGTGCTGGAGTTCTGTACAACAACAGGAAAGGGAAAGTGACATTTCAAACAAGTTGAATTGATTAGGCTGTAGCTGGACCGTGTAGACTCTGCCCCACTACAGCTCTGACATGGAGTGTGTAGACACCGCCAAGGCCATTCTGAAGCTTTTCTGCTCATTGTAGACCAGTGTCATAGATCAAGACAAAATTAACACAAAACTTTTGTACTCCCTGTTCACAATAACCAGATATTACATGGAAAATTTACTTCATATTTAGATTAAATAGAAACAAAATGAATAAAACAACAGCATTGCAGATCTGTCATAAAGTAATCAGTAACAATTGAAAGTGAAGATAGCATCCTCTGATTTCCTTACAAAATAAAAATTTGCCAAAATTGCTGAACCATCAGGCAAGTGAAAATGTGTACCTTCTAACACATTAAGCAAGTACTTTGTTTAAGGAAGGGATAGTTTAAATACCAATAAAATATATCAGATTGTGAAGGGAAAATAACTATAGCTCTTTCATAATATCTTATTATGTGATTTCCCCCCCCCCACCCCCCGTATCAGGAGCAACTTGGGAAACTGCAAGTCGCTTCTAGTGTGAGAGAATTGGCTACCTGCAAGGACATTGCCCAAGGGACTCCCAAATGTTTTACCATCTTGTGGAAGGCTTCTCTCATGTCCTGCATGAGAAGCTGGAGCTGACAGACAGGAACTAATCTGTTCCCCAGATTCAAACCGCTGACGTTTTGGTCAGTAGTCCTGCCATCACAAGGGCTTAAGAACCATTGCACCACCAAGTGTTCTATTATGTGCTTATGACTTCTAGGGTGGAAGATCACTTAGACTCTGTTTCACAAGCACCACAATTTACTGAGCTGTCTTTATTTACTATAGGGCTAAGCTTCACTAAAGCATAGCACTACCCAGTAAAGACGGTCTGTACAAACCCATGGTTCATAAAACAGAGGTGTGCATGTCCTGAATAAGCGAAGGCCCCAAACTTGTTTTTAATTTTCCAAGTATGTCACATCTTCCCAGATGTTCTCATTCTTTTTAAATAGATTGTGATGAGGGAAAAGAATAATTTGAATTCAGACTATAGATGATTCCCCTATCCTACAGAATAATTTTCCTGGAAGTGAAAAATACTAGCCCCTCAGGGAGTGACACAAAATAGTAATTCAGTGAAGTCAACAGATGGAGGAGATCAAAGGCCTTGCAGTAGCGATAGCCATTAAAAACATTGGCTGGTTTTTGTATTTCAGTGAATTTGAATCTAGTTATTTTTCTTGGAGCCCCCTGGTGGTGCAGCAGGTTTAATCACTGAACTGCTGAACATGCTGACCGAAAGTTCAGCAGTTCAAATCAGGGGAGTGGGATGAGCTCCCACTGTTAGGCCCAGCTTCTGCCAACCTAGCAGTTTGAAAACATGCAAATGTGAGTAAATCAATAGGTACCGCTTCTGTAGCCACATGACCTTGGAGGTATCTACGGACAATGCCGGCTCTTTGGCTTAGAAATGGAGATGAGCTCCACCCCCGTAGAGTCGGACATGACTAGACTTAATGTCAGGGGGAAACCTTTACCTTTACCTATTTTTCTTGGATTCTGTTTGTATTTGCATAAATATTATTTTCTGTTCTAAACATTGCCATTATTCAGGAATTTCACTATAATCTGAAAACAACCTTCATTCTGATATAAAACAGTAAGGTCGCAAACTTGCTTATGCTAAACTAGGACCAAGGCAAGACACACTTTGCCATTGTTTTGCACATAGTAAACCCAAAATAAGTAAGTGTAGCAGAGTATCTATGTATGAGATTATAAAGTGGGAAATTGTGCTCTCCATATGTTTTGTACTACAGTGTCTATCGGTCCCCATAAGCATTGCCAGATCTAAACTTGCTGTTTAGTCATTTGATAAAAGATTTGTTATGTCTTATGACTATAAAAATCACTTTTCTCTTCTTTCTTCCTAATATCTTGATCTAACAGAATAACAGACTTCGGAAACATGCCTTTGAACTAAAAATGAATGATTTGACATACTTTGTACTGGCAGCTGAAAATGAGCAAGATATGGATGAGTGGATTTTAACACTCAATAAGATACTACAGATAAATCCAGAAGGATGCATTCAGGAAAGGAAGAGTGCAGATATCACAGATCTGAAATTTGGTAAAAGTTTTAAAATTGTTCAATATTAAATAATATCAGAATCAAAGAGTATGTTATGTTACTTTCTGGATACTTTGCTGTGTAACAGAGGCACTAAGAAATCCTGTTAATGAATTGTAAAGAATTGAGGCAGTGCAATGAGGCAAACTGGTGTCTTGAAATGGTTTTTAAGCAACTTTTAATGTGGAAATAAGTGATTTTAATGTTTGTATATATTTATGGTTTTATGTCCCAACACTGAATGTTTGCCGTATATATGTTGTGCTCCGCCCTGAGTCCCCTGTGGGGTGAGAAGGGTTGAATATAAATGTTTTAAATAATAATAATAAATAAATAAAGATGCATAGTGTCACACCAGCAAGAATGTCCCTATGTGTATCGCCAGCCAATGCACAAGAGGGCAGAATGCATTGATCTCAGTACATCTCAAGAGCAGTGCAAATCAATCCCAATGCACAAATATTCCAATGCACATCAGGCTCCCTTACATAGAGAGGAAACAGTACTTTAGTGTATGCGCACATTATGGAACTGTCCAACTCTCACAGACATAAGTCTGCTTTCAAATATAAAAGTATTTCAGCCATCATATTTATGTTTCTCTATTTTAAAGATCTTGTATCGATCTCCTGAAATAGTCATAGCTCTGAATCCCTATGATAAAATGGCGGGGTTCTTAATGGCATACTATTAATCTTGGTTAAAGTTGTAGATTTAAATATGCAGCTCCCTGTAGAGTTCGTGGGAACACCACAACATAAACTAGTACATGGTGAGTGATGGCAAATGCATTTCTATTGCTTAGTTTCCAGTTCATTTATCTGTTACAGCAGGAAACCACAAACCGATTGCACTCTGAATGGTTTAGGAGGCTTTTCATGGTAAAACTCACTACTATGATGCAAAATGCATTTGCATCAAAAGAAACCCAATGGAGGAGTCAATGCTCTCATAGTGCTTTCTTTTGACCATGATATATTCTATGATGTGCTTTATAAATGAGTCATATTTCCACAAGAGGATCATAGCTTTTGTTCAACACAGCTTGGGAGCTGCAGATATAGTCTCCTGCTGAAGAGGTTTTGTGACAATCACAGACCTGAGCTCACCATTTTTGATTAAAACATTATTTAAAGGGCTTCTATTATTATTCTTCCACTCACACCCACAGAGCCCTATATGCATGTTGAGTTCTGGAACAAAGTTGCTGTCAAGCAACTAAGCATGCACAATGGAAAACCACCAAAGTATGTCTTATATACTATGGGAAAGTCCTTACTAATGCCAGGACTAAACTATGTTGAACCATAGTGTGTATCATACTCACTGCTAAACTTTTAGGAAGAGCTTAATGTCCACTAATGCATTATTCATAATTTCAGATTCAGAAGACTTGTTAACGAATTATGATTGCCCACCAGAGGAAACCGATTCTTCGGAGAATAGCTTGCATCCAGATTTCTCTAAAGTAAGACATTGTTGTTGTTTAAAAATCTCTGAGTGCTACACATACAGTCACATTGACAATATCAGTGTGGCATTGCTCTTGTATTGAATCTAAGCTGATGTTACAGCTGAACATTTGCATCTGTGTTCCAAACTTAACAGATAAAGGTTTACAATGGCACAAAGATGTGATCACTCAGTTGTAGTGGGACATTGTGTAGTGGAGCTTTAGTCCCACCACACAGCTTTGCCTATTACTTGTGTCCTGGAGAATAGATTGGAACCATTTTACAGGAAACAGCTGCCCTCCCATTTTGGAAAGGCCAAAGCTACCAACTGGACACAGGAGATTAGGGTTGCCAGAGACTGAGTGATATGATTCATCTCAAAACCATTCAGAATGGCATTTTGACTACCATGGAATCATCTATGTGGTTAACATAAGGTTGTGAACTGTTAGAATAGAATTGTGAGTAATATGCCGTAGAGCAGAACACACCTGTTCAATGTATTTAACACTGCCCTGCCTATGTATTCATCATTAGCATCCCTAGGGACTGTCACTTGATGCTCACATTCTGATCTCTTTTTTTGTGCCAGTTAGAAGCGTTTTAATTTGCCATGGCATTCTAGTTTTAAGTGCCTTTAGAATAGTGTATTTCAACCTTTCTAATGTCACAATCCCTTAATACAGTTCCGCATGTTGTGGTGACCCCAACCATAAAATTATTTCGTTGCTATTTCATAGCTGTAATTTTGCTACTATTATGAATCATAATGTAAATATCTGATATGCAGGATGTATTTCCATCCACTGGACCAAATTTGGCACAAATACCTGATACACCCAAATTTGAATACTGGTGGGTTTGAGGGGGGGTTGATTTTGTCATTTGGGAGTGGCTGGGATTTTTAGTTCATTACAGTCAAAGAGTGTTCTGAACTCCACTGATGATGGAATTGAACCAAATTTGTCACACAGAACTCCCACGACCAACAGAAAATACTGAAAAGTTTGGTGGGCATTGATCTTGGGTTTTGGAGTTATATACAGAGAGCACTGTGGACTCAAACAATGATGGATCTGGACCAAACTTGGCACGGATACTCAATATGCCTAAATGTGAACACTGGTGGAGTTTGGGGAAAATAGACAATGACATTTGGGAGTTGCAGTTGCATGGATTTATAGTTTACCTACAACCAAAGAGCATTCTGAACCCCACCAATGATAGAATTGGGCCAAACTTCCCACACAGAACCCCCACTACCAACAGAAAATACCCTTCTGACACCCCCTTGCGACCCCCTCCCCCAGGGGTTAAGGTGGAGAGCATGACTTTGTTGATGGACAAATTCTGTATTCTAGACTAAGAAGTTCACTAGGACTATACAGCCACAGTTCTTATGGGCAATCGTCATATGGCATGACTGATGTTATACAATTAGCTCCCACATTCATTTGCAATATTTAGCTGTTAACAAATAGGTTGAGAAAAGGATGTATATTCTTTGGGTTTGATTTTTTCTGGAGTACTTCATTGTGTTGATTAGCCTACATTTATCCTTTTAAATTTCTTGATATTAAAATGAGTGATGGACTAGGACACTGGGCGACTAGGATTCAAATCCACATTGAAACATAGAAATTCACTTGGTGATCCAATTTGGAAAACACTGCTTTATGTTATTTTGGAGAGGAATACAGAAACAATGAGATTTCTATGCTGACTTCATTTGTTTTATGGGAAATAGCTCTCATATCAGAAATATAAATACCTTTATATCATTTGCCTGTTGTTACAGTACCTCACAGAAACAGAAGAAACTGTTAAAGCATCTCGAAATACGGATCGACTAAATCTGTTCTCCCTAGATCCTGATATTTCTGTAAGTATTTTCTGAAGTCGTCAGATATGGTAGGCTAGACATTATTATAATGCTCAGTAAGAAACCAATGACTTCACTCTTATTGTTTTGTCTTTGTACATTCTTCTATAATTTTTTTGTTAAAGTACTTTGCCAGGATATGAAAATATTGCTGACTGTCACTGAGTCCCACTAATATTACTGTTCTGTTCCAGTAAAGAATGACTCTTGGAGTATTTTTATATCAGTACTCTTTTTAAATTATTTCATTGTCTTCATTATAGGCTTTGAGTCCTAACAGAAAAGACTTCACAGGAACAGGTTCATGGCTCAAACCATTTGAAGAGAGAGATACAAAGCGAATCATGATAACGTGCAAATCTCTCAATCTCAATCTGCAAGCTTGTGTTTCTGACAATGAAAATGACCCAATTACTAATGTAAGTTTGAAGATGGTGCATAGAGATCGAGGTATAGAGTTTCATTTCCGCAAAAGCATGCTCCATTGCTCCTTATGAAGGTTTGGTAAAAAGAATAGATTTCATTGTGTGTGTTTTACTTTTCAGCTAACTTATTTGTATATGAAATAAGAACAAATCAAACAGGGGTGATTTATATTAGCAAAATTGAATAACAGCACTATGCTTTTGGAAGGATGCATTCATTATCTGTAGCTAAAACAGCTAAAAGTAGTGATACAAATTGTGTTGCTTGCCATGATTATTATATTTACATGTACATAACAATATAGCACACATGCACATTAGTTCCAAATGCCTGGGATTCATCTCTGAGCAAGGGCCTCAGATATTAAAGGTATTTTCATAGAATGTGTGCAGTTCATAGAAGTGCTGCTTTTTGCAGCATGTGGATTGATGTTCTGTCCTAATTAAAGCTTTTCAATTGCTTTTTGAGGTTTCTTGGAATACCTCCAAGAGCACCAACCACTATTGGTACCACTGTTGTTCTCTTTTGCCATAGTTGTCCAATTTCATGATGATTATAGTGATGATGATGATGATGATGATGATGATGATGATGATTTGAAACACAAGATTATTACACAGCAAACAAGATCACTATGGTGGCTGTTGTATTGCATCACCTGTCGGACACATCCCAAGTGCCTAGGACTGTGTGATGTATCGGCGAATAATGCGTGCAGATCCCAGTAGAGTGTCCTTTTGCAGCTGACAGATGGCAATTTTGTCAGCGCTGATTGTGTTTAAGTGCAGGCCAAGGTCTTCAGACACTGCACCCAGTCGATCACCACTGGGACCACCTTTACTGGCTTGTGCCAGAGTCTTTGCAGTTCGATCTTTAAATCCTCATATCGTGTCAGCTTTACCAGTTGTTTCTCTTCACTCCTACTGTCACCAGGGATTGCAACATCGACACAATCGTGAGGTCAGGGTATTGCGCTCCAAAACTCTGTCAGTCTGAATTCAGAAGCCCCAGATTAATTTGACATGTTTACTTGTGATCCCACCAGTTCTTTGTCGCAGGTAGATGGTATTTGTGTCACAAGTTCCAATGAATCATCTGAGCAACAGTGTTATGCCTCTGCTTATAGTCTGTCTGCGTGATCTTCTTGCAGTAGCTGAGGATGTGATCTATTGTTTCATCTGCTTCCTTGCAGAGTTTACACTTGGGATCAACTTAACCACGGTCCTTATAATCCTGGGCGACAACCGAGCCAATATAGACTTATTTAGAGTTTGTTTCACCATATTTAAATGGGTTGGGTGCACTTAGTTCTACTTCTCAGTTGAGACTGCTCTATCTTGGTTGAACCTACTGGTACTTTACCCTACTGCCAGCACAGTTCTCAACATAAAAGAAGCAGTTAAGCCCCTTGCCAACAATTATTATTATTATTATTATTATTATTATTATTATTATTATTATTATTATTAGTTATTGCTTCTGTTCATGGATTGAGGTGGAACATTACTTAGTTAAAGTACATAGATGAAACAAAGGACCATAAAATGCATATGTTAAAACATAGAACAAACATTAATACATCAATACTAATAAAAGGTAAATATAATGTAAATTTTAAATTCATATGTATTGTCGAAGGCTTTCATGGCCAGAATCACTGGGTTGTTGTAGGTTTTTTCAGGCTATATGGCCATGTTCTAGAGGCATTTTCTCCTGACGTTTCACCTGCATTACAGATGCAGGTGAAACTTCAGGAGAAAATGCCTCTAGAACATGGCCATATAGCCCGAAAAAATCTACAACAACCCAGTTAAAATTCATAGTTTAGAATTGCCCAGGTAGGTCTGCCTTCATCAAACTCTGTTGTGTAGAAACCTGCAAATTTCTAGACATAATAATAGAGGAGCTTGTGACATCAGATTTCAGATCAGGGCATAAATATAATGAACCAACTACCATATAAACAGATATATAAGTTCACTTCGTGTATAAGTCAAGGCAATGGATATAATTGTCTGACCATAGCCTCAGGACTATTCTCTTCACTACTCTAGTTTATATCAAATTACATTCACCGGTTCTACTTAACATAGTTCTTTAGAATACAATACAATATACATAATGTAAAATATAATTCAACCTTTTTAATGCCGTTTCTCAGAATCTTTGTACTACCAGCAATTTTATTCTTTTGCAGCTGCTATACATTGATCTAGAACTGAATGTGCCCTTTTTTCCCATCTCATGAATTATGCATTATATAGACAGCCAGAGGGAATGTTTCATTTATTCAGCGTTGTTATTGCATAATCAGTTTGTTGTAATCTATATTTTGTAATTGAGATGTACTTTTGAAAATATAGTTCCATTCATTCAATTGTGACAATTACAGTCCTGTGTTTCTTATTCTTATGCATAAAACCACAGAATTCTCTGTCAAAAAGCGTATTTGAATTCCCTTTGTAAAAACATGAAGCTGAACAGTTGTGGGGCCCATTTGCAAAAAAATGTAGAAGAAGTAATATAATTTCTAGAGCTGTGTACATTTTAGGTGCAGGATGGATGAACTAGGCCAGCTCAAAACTTGTTTTGCTGCTTTGTAATCTCATCTTTCAGACAGCGCACATTAGTTAGATACACTCATGGACCTGCATTAAGCTGATGTCGTGCTATATAAAATACCAGACTGCTTAATGTTCAGCTAATAGCTACTGGTATATAATATGCTTGGCATTCACTCTAATTCTTTCAAGGCATTGACTAAAAGCTGCAGTTCAAGGCACATCTTTTCAGTGCAGGTTACTCTAAGGGTGTGAGTTCTGGAGCTATCTGTACTCAAGGATGTATCTGCTAAATCCGGGGCCATTTGTCTAGATGGTTCAGCCAATTTGTCTCCATCTTCATGTTGCAACAACTGAAACTGATCCAAAGAAAATTGATAAGATAATGCACCTGGCATACCCTCAGACATCAAGTTCTGATCAAATATGATATCCCCTCCCCTTTAAAATATACATCTTGAGTCAATATGCATATTGCACTAGCATATTTTGGGGGCCCTGGTGGTGCAGTGGGTTAAACCTTTGAGCTGCTGAACTTGTTGACTGAAAGGTCACAGGTTCGAATCTAGGAGCGGTGTGACCTCCTGCTGTCAGCCCCAGCTTCTGCCAACCTAGCAGTTCAAAAACATTCAAATGTGAGTAGATCAATAGGTACCGGTCTGGCGGGAAGGTAACAGCGCTCCATGCAGTCATGCTGGCCACACGACCTTGGAGGTTTCTACTGACATCTCCGGCTCTTCGGCTTAGAAAGGGGGATGAGCACCAACCCCCAAAGTTGGACACAACTGGACTTAATGTTAGGGAAAAACCTTTACCTTTACCTACTAGCATATTTAATTCTGATTTTTAACTGTATTTGTTTTTTTTTTCTCTGCTCTTTGTTTGTAGATAGAACCTTTCTTTGTGAGTGTGGCTCTTTTTGATACAAAGGACAACAGAAAACTTTCTGCTGATTTCCATGTGGACTTAAATCATACCATTGTGAGGCAGATGATATCCAATTCTTCACCTTCAATAGAAAATGGAACTATTGGGATTGTTGTCACCAAAGAAGAAGAACCACAGGTCAAAGGGTTTCCAGAAGAATGGCTAAAGTACCCTAAACAGGTAACTAAGAAGTTGACTAACCATGTGAAGATTTGCTTTTGGAGCCTTATGACACAAAATAGTAAATGAAATGAATGTCAGAAAATGGTATGTCACCTGTGTTCAGACAACCCATTTTTAAATAATATAATCACAAAAATTATTTATTTATTTATTTCATACACTTGTACCCCGCCCTTCTCACCCCCGAGGGGGGACTCAGGGCAGCCTCACAGCAAGCACCATTTGGTGCCATTACAATCATAAAAACATTCAAGAAATTCAGTAAACCACATTAAATAGACAGTTGTTAAAAACATGCCAGTTAAAACAAAAGTGCGGGTCAGTTCATTGTCACTTCAAATTGCTTATGTATTCTTATCACTTGCTGCTATTCAATGATCAAATGCTTGGTCCCACAACCAAGGTCTTGAGTTTCCTTCTAAAGAACAGGATGGAGGTGGCCAATCTGATGTTCCTGGGGAGGGAATTCCACAGGCAGGATATGTTAGTTAACCTGCTTATAAAGAGGTGCCAAGGGTGCATCTATACTGCAGAATTAATGCAATTTGATGCCACTTAATTGCCATGGCTCAAGGCTATGGAATCATTGAGGTTGTAGTTTGGTGAAGCACTGTCATTGTTAAGAAGAGAAAGCTAAAGACCTTGGGGAACTACAACTCCCATGATTCTGTAACATTGAGTCAGTGCACATAGTGAACTCTACAAAATAGATACACCTCTGCAGTAATCATTCACAGAGTTCCAACAGGCAATCTCCATTAACAGCATTACACTCAATCTTAGCAAATAACAGCAGAATTTTAAGTAGTCAACAAAAGCTATTTTTTAAAAATGGCAAGCCCAGGTCATTGAATAGGGCAAAGCCTTTCTCTATATTTTGAGTTCATGGGGGCTATTAATTATTAAAAGTTTGTTTCCTGAGGTCTGTAATTCTGCTACCTACAATGAGTTTTCTCTTCTAATCCCAGGCAGTTTTCTCCATAAGTAACCCGCACTCTGAAATTGTTTTGGTGGCAAAAATTGAAAAAGTGCTCATGGGAAACATTGCTACTAGTGCAGAACCTTACATAAGGAATCCAGACTCCAACAAGGTAATATAAGATAAAGATAAAACCTCTCACATCCTAGGGGGGAAATCAACATTGAAGTGAAAATGTATCACAAAAGATTGATTTAGCAATCTGTGGCACTGTAGTGGACTTCTAACTGTAGAATAAATTGCCTGTGCTTATTTTTATTCCATTCCAATCACTAAGAATGTTTTCATCACCTTTAATGGAAGTAAAAGGGACTACAATAGCTAACCGGTTTAAGATGAGCAGCTAATATACTGGATATTGCAAATCTGTTCTTTCTCTCTGTGGATGCATTAGATTCATCTGAGAGATCAGTATAATAAAACCAATCTCTTAAGCGAGTGTTTGGACTGTCCTTCAATGGAAGTCTTCTAACAGAGAGTATGCAGCCATCCTTTTTGGAGGTTCTAGCTCATGCATCAAACTAATGGCTGAGCTTCATAGCTTACAAGACCCTCTGAAGCTCTTATGTGGTGGACTTCTAATTGTCCACCATTTGCAGAAATCGCAAGTGCTGGAAACTTATTTTGTTTGGAGCCCCCAGTGCTACAATGGGTTAAACCATTGTGCCGGCAGGACTGAAGACGGACAGGTTGGAGGTTCGAGCTGGAGCTCCCTCTGTCAGCGCCAGCTCCCCATGTGGGGATATAAGAGAAGTCTCCTACAAGAATGGTAAAACATCAAAAACATCTGGGCATCCCCTGGGCAGCGTCCTGCAGACAGCCAATTCTCTCACACCAGAAGCAACTTGCAGTTTCTCAAGTGACTCCTGACATGAAAAATAATTGTTGATATCTTATTTTTGTGAATAATTAAGTCCCCTTGAAAACTCTCAGGAAGATAGCATCTACATGGGATTTCTGGTTACATTTGTCCTGGAATTAACTTTTTCTTTCCTTGCTTGTTTGCTTAGTGCGCTCAGAAAGTATTAAAATCCAACAAACAGTTCTGCAGCAAGTTGGGAAAGTATCGGATGCCCTTCGCTTGGTCTGTAAGGTATGTAATTTCTTACAAAATGCTAGTTTTTATAAGGTTTTCATACTAAGAGACACTAGAGACGTGGTCAGTTTCACCATTACATCATCAGTCTTATAACTTCATCAGAAATTACCAGCTTCTTTTTATTTTGTTCTATCAATTTTAAGTTTGAGTCAATGGGACACAAATGACAATATAATGTAGCAACAGACTGCTGGTAGCAATAGTGATTTGAATTTCTAGATTATTCCTGTTATTTTTCATTGATCATATCATTAACTTCTATTAATACAGATTGAGTGTCCCTTATTTGAAATGCTTGGGGCCAGAAGTGTTTTTGAATTTGCATATACATAATGGGATATCTTATTGATGGTACACAAGTGGAAATACAGAATTCATTTATCCAAGCAGAATGCTCAGTATGAATCCACACCTCCCACCATTTCACAGATTCTTGTATCTATTCATCCTAATGTCATCCTGTTTGTATGCTACTTCTGTTGTCTATGAAATGCACGACTGGAGAGAGAAAGGATCTGTGAAATGACAGGAATCCAAGGAAGTGCTTGGCACAAATCTATGTCTTATGCCATTTCACTTTCTCCAGTCTTGCATCTCTTCTGTCTCTTGCCAGCCCCTCTCTGTCCTCTCACTATGAAGGAAAAAACAGACAGTTGGCAGAAAAAAAGTTTTGGATTTTGGAGCTTAATGATGCACAATTTGTATCCTTTCAATCATTTTTAAGAGAGAAAAAGTGGCATATAAATAAAAAAACAACAGCCTTCATTTCAAAGTTTACCCTCCGTCTATGCATACAGAGTAATGCAGATCCTTTATAGCCACCTAAATGACTGTGATCGATCTCTATAAATCTCACATGTTTACTGGGTTAACATTTAGATTAGTTTAAAACATTCTATTGAGCAGTGGTTCTCAACCTTCCTAATGCTGCGACCCCTTAATACAGTTCCTCATGTTCTGGTGGCCCCCAACCATAATATTATTTTTGTTGCTACTTCATAACTGTAATTTGGCTACTGTTATGAATTGTAATGTAAATATTTGATATGCAGGATGTATTTTCATTCACTGGACCAAATTTGTCAGAAATACCCGATACGCCCAAATTTGAATACTGGTGGGGTTGGGGGAAAATTGATTTTGTTATTGGGGAGTTGTAGTTGCTGGGATTTATAGTTAACATACAATCAAAGAACATTCTGAACTCCATCAACGATGGAATTGAACTAAACTTGGCACAAAGAGCTCCCATGACCAACAGAAAATACTGGAAGGGTTTGGTGGGCATTGAGCTTGAGTTTGAGTTTTGGAGTTGTAGTTCACCTACATCCAGAGAGCACTGTGGACTCAAACAATAATGGATCTGGACCAAACTTGGCACTAATACTCAATATGCCCAATTATGAACCTGGTGGAGTTTGGAGAAAATAGACCTTGACATTTGGGAGTTGTAGTTGCTGGGATGTATAGTTCACCTACAATCAAAGAGCATTCTACACCCCACTGATAGAATTGGGCTAAATTTCCCACACAGAACCCCCATGATCAAAAGAAAATACTGTGTTTTCTGATGGTCTTTCGTGACCCCTCTGACAACCCTTTGCAACCCCTTCCCCAGAGCTCCTGACCCCCAGGTTGAGAATCGCTGCCATAGAGTAACCCAGTGAGTGGCATTGCTGTGTCAAATATTCACATCTCATACCCAACCCACTGGCTTTGCCCTATTTTAGTACATCATAGAAAGGCAAGAGACCAGACTATAGATGAAGTCAGCTCATGTGCTGTGAGCACTCCATCTAACTTCAGTACAGTTGAACATACAGAGATCAATACCTCATTCATATATCCAAACTCTTCTTTCCTGTAGTGCTTAGCTTTATCTTAGATTGAGGATAATGCAGTAAATTGCACCCCGTGAATCTTAACAGTCTATAAATAGATATTTCTACTTGAGACACAGAACATATTGCACAAGAGCTGCCATGACTATGACAAAAAACAGAAACCTTGGACTATGAATGTGCTTTCCATTTCTTTAATTTCTGGCGTTAGCACTAGTCCCATTTCACGTGGAGGTTTTTTTAACTGTTCTAATTTAAAACAGATTGAAACAGTAGTGTAATTTTTAGATATTTTCAAATACCCCACATCTGAGAATTTATCAGCCTTGCAGCTGGAATTTCCCTTTATTTGTGCCACAGCAGGCATGTCTGTGCCCTGGTCTTTGGGCTGTATGCAGAGACAATAATTACAACATGCATTAGAATTACAATGTGACAAGTCACCCTCCCATTATCATATTCCTACCACAGCTGCCAGAGTTTGCAAATATGATTTGTACTTGGAAGGCTGGTTTCCCCACAAATATTTTCCATATATATTTCTTCCTTCCATTTCTATTATTCTCATACAAATAGTTTTGGAACTCAAGCTGCAGCATATCTTACAAACTTGCAATAATAGAGTGTCTGTTAAGGCTAGTGTAAATTATTCAGAGCTTGCAAAAGTGGCTTATTTGGACAACAAACTCCAGTGTGCCTCAGCCAATATAGCTGATGGCACTACTAGTTCCTTAACCTCTGACTCTATGTTCAAGCAGCTGCTGGACTCCTGAGTCATAATGAGAATCTAGTCGAACAAGGAAGGTTTTGTTGTCAATCAGCAAGGAAGAATTTGTAGTTGTTTAACAACTGGAATAATTAACCCCTCGCCCTCAAAATTTATTTATTCCGTGTCAAAAGCATTGCACAAATAAGTATAAAACTGATAAAAATGGAGGAAACACAAGTGGTCAAATAATCTTTGACCAAAAATGGGCAACAGTGACTACACTGTCTGTAGCTTTAAACAATTATTCCTTCGTACATGAGGCAGGGCACTGTGCACAAGAATGCATATGTGGAGTTGTTTGTGCTGCTCCACAGTTGCATAAGGTGGAGGAGCCCTCAAAATATAGACAATACCCTTTATGTGTATTCTCTTGCCCAGAAACCCTTTTGCAGAGCTTGGACTACAAGTCCTCCCCACACACAGGAACACCACAGAATCCACCAGCTAGCATGGCCAACTGGAAGCTATGGTCCATCTAGAGCAGGGCTTCTTAAACTTTTTCCATTTGTGACCCCTTTCTTCATGGGGAAATTTTATATGCCCCCAGGTATATAGGTATATACAATCAGTGTAAAAATCAATCATTTATTGAAGATAAATCAGCATTTGCAAGGCTTGCTAAACAGGCTGATTTTTCTTTTTATGACGTACAGGTGAAGCATTTCTGCCAAGTCCACTGTAAACACTAGTCTTGTGCATTTGTATAGAATCTGTTTCAGTTTGTTTCATTAGTGTGGCCCAGTTTTTGTTTATGAGTGCTGCTTCTGAAAATGGGGGCTTTTCCCAAACAATCTGTTTTGCTCTTTCATCTGAATGAACAAAACATTTCGGACCATTGGCCAACATGAGTGGCCTTCCCAGGCTCCCCTTCCCCTCAGTTTTAGGGCTAGAAGGGTGAAAATCACCACACATGGTCCCCTAATTTTTAGGGATTTTTTCTTTCTACAAATAAAATCTCCTTTAAAACAGTCCCTTTTTCCCTTCCTTTTTATATGTATCGGAGCAGGACTTCGGATACCAGCTGTGGAGGAGATCACAGCTTAAAGGCAGGGCTTCATATACCACCAATAACCTGGTGAACTCACTGGTTTCTTGGGCTCTGATTGGTGCAAATACCTCCTCTGAGGCATGTAGAAAAACTCCCTGGATGGTGAGGAAAGGCACACAGCCCAAAAACCAAACAAAGAAATGGAAAACATGCAACTTTCTCTTTCGTTTTGCCTTTTGTTTAGTCTAAAAATGGCTCTTTCATTTCATGCCATTTGAATGATGATAGGAAATGAATACCCGAATGAAACAAATGGAAAAAATACTGTTTCCACCTCTAGTAAATACCGCACATTGATTCTAACAGATTTATGTAAATGAGTAAAGTTCAGGAATCTTTTTTGTTGCCAAATTTTTCTCAACCCCTATATTGAGCTAAGGGGGTCCCATTTAAGAAGCTGTGTTCTGGAAAGCCAAACACTCTTTGTCCTTGTAAGAAATGTGCTATGAAGTCAATCCTATGTATTCATTGAGGTTTCGTGGACCAAGAAGCTAGATGGTTTTTCATTTAATTTTAAGTGTTACCAAGTATCTGACATGAGATGCGAATGTTGTTGGACTACTTAGAAACATGCTCACTACACTGTTGAATTACACATATACATGAGTAGGGAATTGCTCAATAACCAAGCAGATTGCATTTCATTTCAAGATAATATTTGAATATCAAATGGTGAAATTGGTTTTAAAAGTAGATGAAAGTGGATGCTTTATATGAAATGAAATTACGATTCCTTTGAAAAGTCTGTCCTGAATTTCTTAAAGCTTTGGAAATGGTTATACTGAAAAGGCATTTACTGATTGGTTTTCATCTAGTATGTTGTTTCTCCCACTACAGGCCAGTCTTTAAAGATAATCAGGGAAATATTGATAGAGATTCAAGGTTCTCACCTTTGTTCAGGCAAGAAAGCAGCAAAATTTCAACAGATGACTTAATGAAACTCGTTGTAGAATACAGAAGGTAAGGAATTATTTCTTGAATATGTGCATGGGCATAGTGTTGTTCTGGCTACTTTGCTATAATAACTTTACACAAAAAATCCTGATGGCCAAAATAACTATATTACATGAAATGTTTTTCACATTAGTCAAAGATTTTATCAAAACTGATTTTCTAGTAATTTTTTTCCAGGAATACTGGCAAAGTGTTTACAGCTATAACAACTTTAATTCCCAATTGATTGCACTTCTGCATAGAATATATTTTGGTTAATGTGAAAAAATGTATGAGAAAGGTGGGGATTAAATATGCACAAATATGTTTCATGGAGTACCAGTTGGTTTGAATTAAATGCAAATCCTGGACTCAATATTCCTTTTATTGAATAACTGCTTGGTTTCATTAAAGTCTTATTTTCCTTTTGAAGTTCTCCCCTGTGTTTTCATTTAACTCATCACCGTTTAATGAAGCAAGGATTGTTAAGTTATTAGTTGGACCTTGATTCAGGTTTCATACAGGGCTGGTAATCAAGAGATTTGGAGGTGTGGAATTCAAAGTTATAGTTGCATAATCTGGATCTTGTGGCACCTTTGAGATAACTGAGAGAAAGAAGCTGGTAACATAAAATTTCATGGACGTAAGGCTGCTTCATCAGGTGGATAGAATGAAATGCCTAGGAGCAGTTGTTTATTTATTACTTATTATATTTACAGTACACCAATACAGATAAAAACATATAAACACTGTAAAAGTCTTAAAACCATAATACCAAATCCAAGAGACACCATTTGTGTTATGTCAGATCCAGATTGCACTATTCAACACCTAACCAAACGCCTGATCCCATAACCAGGTCTTCACTCTTTTATTGAAAACCAGGAGGGAGGGGGGCAATCTGATAGCTCTAGAGAGGGAGTTTACACAGCCAAGGGGCCACCACTGAGAAGACCCTGTCTCTTGTCCTCACCAGTCACACTTGTGATGGGGGTGGGACGGAGAGCAGGGCCTCTCCCGTATATCTTAACTTTCTAACCGGCTCATAGGGAAAGATATGTTCAGTCAGGTAAGTTGGACCAGGGCTGTTTAGAGCCTTATAGGCTAAAGCCAGCAATTTGAATTGTGCTCAGTAGCAGACTGTCAATCAGTAGAGCTAATGTAACAGGGGAATTGTATGCTCCCTATCACTCCGGTGAGCAGCCTGGCTGCCGCCTGTTGGCCTACTTGGAGCTTCCAAACAGTCTTCAATGGCAGCCCATGTAGGTCTCATTGCAGTAGTCTATTCTTGATGTAAGTAGAGCATGGACCACCATGGCCAAGTCTGACTTTCCAAGGTACAGGTGCAGCTGGTGAAAGCTCCCCTGGCCACCACAGAAATCTGAGGCTCCAGGCTCAGCTGTGAGTCCAGGAGAACTCCCAAGCTGCAAACCTGTATCTTCAGAAGGAGTATACCTCCATCCAGCACAGGCTGTAACCCTATACCCTGTTCATCTTTATGACTAACCAGGAGTACATCTGTCTTGTCTGGATTCAATTTCAATTTGTTCACCCTCATCCAGATCATCACAGCCAGCAAGCACCGGTTCAGAACCTGAACAGCCTCCTTAGCAGCAGGTGGAAAGGAGTGATAGAGTTGGATGTCATCTGCATACAGATGGCATCTGTGAAGATCCCTTACCTTGCCAGCCGGGGTGGCAGGGCCCAGGAGAGGCAGGCTAGTTAGTTAAGCCTTAGAAGGCCTGGCAGGGAGCAGCAGGAGCCATTTTGGTTTAGGGAAAGCTCCAGTTCAGAGAGGGGGAGTGGCCTAGGCCTGGGCCAGCCCTGAAACAGCCAGGATTGGTTTGTTAAAGGGGGGCGGAGTTAAACTGTTGGAGGGAAAGAAAGAAGCTTATTGAGTCAGTTCAGTTCAGTTCTGGTTGATGTTAGAGTTAGAGCAGGATTAGAGAAGCTTGTAGGAGTTCCTGATTAGAATAGGCAGTTTGCCTGAAGTTTGCACAGTGAAATAGGCTGTGGCAAACTGGTTACAGCTATTTTAGGGAAAAAATAGCTGGGTTTTGTAATAGGAACTGTAACAAAGAAAGAACAATTCTCTCATGCAACCGTTACGCTTTTAAGAACAAGAACACTTTAATTGTAACAGCCAAGCTTATGAAACTGCATTCACTTCATTCTGTACTTTTATTCAATAAACTTTCCTTGTTATTTTTGAAACTTAAGCCTGAGTCAAGTGCCATTTGTGGATTTAGTCCCTTTTCTTTTTAAAGCAACCTCACCTGTTTTCCTTCAAAGAAGCCCTTTTAAAACACACAGTGTTTGGTGGTCCTAGAAGTAATTTTAATATCTTTCAATAGCTAGAGGGTTCCTGTTCATTTGGTTTATGGTGGCAGCGAAGGTTTTAAATAGAGAGACATCCCCTCAAGCATTGTGTGGGTGCCAGTGAATCCTTTATTAAAGGAGGGACAGTTGGTGGGATCTGTTTGCCCCCTGTCCAGACGGCCATTAAGGAGTTATTATCATTGGTGTCAGATGGTGGGATTGATCGTATTGCCATCTGCCTAGTTATTATAGCATCAAACTCTAAAACTCTGGATACTCTCCCCCTGTGGCTTCATGTAGATGTGAAACAACATGGGGGACAATACTGAACCCTGCAGGACCCCACAGGGCAAAGGCTGTGGGGCTGAGCATATGTCCACCAACAGCACCTTCTGAGAGCGACCTTCCAGGAAGGACTGGAGCCACTGCAGAACAGTGCCTCTAAGGCCCATTCCCGCAAAGCATCTCAGAAGGATACCGTTGTCTATGGTATAGAAGGCCAGTGTGAGCAAGATGCATGTGTTTATGAGCAAGATGCATGTGTGACTAGTAATAGAAATGAAAAACTTTTGTCTATGGTGATGATGTGTCAAGTTCAATATTAATAGTCATTTGGGAAGAAGACAGAGAGAAAGACGTTGTCCAAAGCCAAAGTGAGAAGATAACCACATAAGCGGTTGAGATATTATTGGAAAATAGTGTGATGCTGGCTGAGAACCAGAAAAGAGATGTGATAAAGTGGCCAAAGGAAGCTGTCAAAGGAAGCTGGGGTGGTAACTAGTGTTATGTATATGCTAGTGTGCCAGAAAATCATTGGCTTTGTTCAACCAGTGGTCAGTGTGCTGGAGTTTGTGGATATATTTCAATTTTTCTGTTTCTTCTTCCAATATCTATATATTTTTTAAAGTTCAAAACAGCAGTCCTTGAACAAAAAAAACTATGAAAATTTACTCAACTTGGCTTAAGGCAGTGGTTCTCAACCTTCCTAATGCCGTGACCCCTAAATATAGTTCCTCATGTTGTGGTGACCCCCAACCATGGATGGGGCCTCCCGCTCGCCTCTCCCATCCCCCGAAGCCGGGGAGCGCAGGAGCCGAGCGGCAAAGGCCCCCTCCATGGCTGCAGCCGTGAAGGGGGCCTCCCGCTCGCCTCTCGCGTCCCCCGAAGCCGGGGGGCGCAGGAGCGAGCGGCAAAGGCCCCCTCCATGGCTGCAGCCATGGAGGGGCCTCCCGCTCGCCTCTCACGTCCCCCGAAGTCGGAGGGCGCAGGAGGCAAGCGGGGAAGGCCCCCTCCATGGCGGCGGCTGTTTGGTTCACACAGGAGCCAGCAGCCATTTTGGGGGGGGGCAACCAAGGCAGCTTCGCGACCCCCGGAAAATGGCCCAGCGACCCCCTTGGGAGTCGCGACCCCCAGGTTGAGAACCGCTGGCTTAAGGCAATGTCTTTCCTCCTTTGTCTCCTGTTGACCATTGTTAAAACTGGACTTGTCCCCTCATTACCATACACACAAGTTTTGCATTTCTGTAGTTGTTCACACTTACAACATGGTCACAAACAGCTGTTTCTATGCATTTCATTCTATGCACGTGATTAAGCAGTCTTAAGTCTACTTAAACTTATGCTAACAACGTCTTTTTCTCTGCTAGTCTCAAAGTTGCTACAAGATCCCTTTGCATTTAGGGCTGTGTACAGGTACCTAACAGAACTCTTAATACAGATTTGTACCATTCTCCTTAGGCTGAGAAAAATTTCATCAGAGCTTGATCTGTGTGGTTAATGATTCCAAACCTTTAGAAATGCTTTTAGCTAAAGAATAAGATCACCTAGACCACATTTGTCACTCTTTTCATCAGGATCTGCTAAAGCTCAAATCTATCAAAGGCAAGGAGATAAATATTGACCAAAGTTGTTTCCTGCCATTATAACAGCTGTAATTGAGAAATAGCAGAAATAAGATTGTGTAACAAGAATTATTTTTTGTCAACCACCTTCCTTCAGTTTGGATTAAAAATCTTATTTTCCTTGCTTAAATATTATATTTTGCTCTTTTAAAGTAATAACTCTAATATTAGTCTTCTGGTGCCATGTGTTATTACAGAACTTACATATAACTAGACCTGGAGCTCTGTAGACATAATCCCTGACTTTCAGCCACTTGCCATGTACAAGTGTTTCAGATGAGCAGGAGGGGAGCATTTTCTCTATGTTTGTTTTGTTTCTTAATAAATGAAATCTGGGTGGGACAAAAATTGTCCACCTAAATCTACTGCATTTGTGTTCAGCTGATAAAACTACTTCTCAAAGCCAACATTTTCTCTTGTGCACACAAGTTTTTAAGGCATCTTTATAACCTGCAATCTATTAAGATTCTTCTAGATAAAGTCACTAATGAGGGGGTTTTTCAGAATTAAAAATTGTATTTCACATTATGTTTTGGCTGTAGGTTACATTGTAGCTGTTCTTTTTCTTGTCAATATTTACAACCTAAAATATGTTTCCTTTTGTTTTCAGAGCAGACAAGATCAATAAAATTCAGACCATCCCTGGCAGTTTAGAAATCGCTGTTGATTGTGTACCTTTGGAGCACCCAAGTATGATTCCATTTTATAACTGCTAAGAAATGTTGCCATCATTATTAGGAATTGGGGTTTTTTATTTTAAAAAACCAACAACCAGTGCTTCTTTTTAACTTTGGCACTTTTAATTGTTTCTAGATGTGATATTTAGGAACAGAACTTTTGTTGGAGAAACAATTTTGAATTATTGGCTTGCAACAATGCCTGGAGAATTCAGAGTGGTGGGAGTTGTAGTTTTTAAGTCACCTTTTCCAGCTTCCACCATTAGCAGGCTGGCATCTAATCCATATCGACCACCCATATGAAGAATAAAAATCCATTGATAAAATGATTATTGTATCTCTTCATGTAATCCACATAAGTAACAGGAAGGGAACCATGACTATTTCTCATCACAATGCTTCATTCTGCATTGTAAGCTCATTGTGCTTTATTGTGTATTATTTTGATATGTGTGTACTCACCTGAGTCATTGAATGCTAGCCTTTTGTGTGTGTAAACCACCCTGAGTCCCTTCAGGGAGAGAGGATGGTTTAGAAATAAAGTTGTTGTTATTGTTGTTGTTATTGTTAAAGGTTTTTATGGCTGGAATCACTGGGTTGTTGTAGGTGTTTCGGGCTATATGACCATGTTCTAGAAGCATTCTCTTCTGACGTTTTGCCTGCATCTATGGCAAGCAGCCTCAGAGGTTCCTATTTCCATTTGATCATTCACCTGTCTGAACAGCAAGAGACCAATACTGTAATTTTGCATTATATTAGCTGAGAGTAATTATAATATTCATAAATATATATCTTAAAACTGTTTGTTAAGTTAGAAAGTAATAATAAAATTAATTTATTTTATCTTCAAATAATAATATAGCTGCTCATTGGAATATAAGAATATATGGGTCTAAGTGAGCTTTGACTAGAGTAATCCAACTGAATCTTTGGAATTCATATATGTGTTGATGAATCATTCAACTGTTTGGGAGTAGCCAAAAGGATAGGCTTGGAGTCCATAATTTTTAGACTGTACAATTAAGGATTTTATTTTTCTCTTTCTTCTTTTTCAAGATTGTGTAACATCATCTTTCATTCCAGTCAAGCCATTTAATGATATTAAGGAGCATCGACCTACAGTAGAAGTAGAGGAATTTGTCCAAGAATCGACAAAATACTCCCAGACTTACAGAGTATATAAAAACCAAATATATATCTATCCCAAACATCTGAAATATGATGGTCAAAAATGCTTCAACAAGGTATGATCTTCAACAGTAAAAGAGGCTTGAAAGAACAATGAGTGACATATTTACTAGGGGTATGCACAATATTGTTTTGGTGTACCGGACTCAGGAGGTTCACCTGCTGAATTCATGAAAATGAGCCTGGCGGGGGCAGCCAAAGCCTTAGCCAATACGGATCACAGCAGCTGGATCTATTCAGGTAATGGGAGCTAATGGGAGCTAGTGAGGCTGAGCAGTACTCTACCTGGGACGGAGGCAGCCTCCTCCATCACTTCCCATAGTATCCCCCAGCCCCACTTGAGGCAAATAGGAACTTTGTGTGGTGCGGGCATTGAAGAAGCCTCTGTGCTCCCTCCCAGGGCATGATGAGAGTTGAGGTTTTTCTCTGTGTGCTTCATATTGATTGCATTCAGACTGGTACAATGCTAGTAGATTATCTCAATTAAAAATTATACTTAATTCAAATTTCTCAGTACAAGTTAGTGCTTTTTCATCTTTTAAGTAGTAGCTGGTGGTGACAGAGAAGCAGCTGCAACATAGTGGTATCAGAATAATAATAAAACTTAATAAAACTTTAATTATTGACCACCCTCTCCCCCCAAAGGGACTCAGTGCTAAAAGAATGGTCTTTTAGCACTTTTCATCAAACTCTGTCAGTCATATATGCTTCAACACAAACTGATGAAATTAATCTCTTTCAACATAAAAGAATTTCAGCCTTAAATCTTTGCAAATTAATTTTAAAAGTTATTATATTTTATTATATTTTAGATGTAAATGATAATGGAAAGACTAGTAGCTGGGTGGTGTTTTCTGCACTATTCATATAATCCATCTCACATCAAGTTAAACCTTTCTACATTCTTCTCTTCTCTGGCTTCACAATGCCATTGAAATTTTCTATGCACATGGCAGCAAAATACCACATCTGGAACAAAGCCTGCGTACAAGCCCTATGAGGAGCAGCTTAAGGAGCTGGGCATGTTTAGCCTGAAGAAGAGAAGGCTGAGAGGAGATATGATAGCCATGAACAAATATGTGAGAGGAAGCCACAGGGAGGAGGGAGCAAGCTTGTTTTCTGCTTCCTGGAGACTAGGACGCGGAACAATGGCTTCAAACTACAAGAAAGGAGATTCCATCTGAACATGAGGAAGAACTTCCTGACTGTGTGAGCCGTTCAGCAGTGGAACTCTCTGCCCCAGAGT